GGCTCACATCAAATCGTGCCCATTTCTATTGGGGAGACAGCCGGGAGTGGGGTTGCTGGGGTGCAGATGTTGCACTTTCATAGTTAGTGACACATAGTATAACATTTCTAGTTGCTTTACATTTTGCCAACACTTGATTTCTAATTTTTTCTCATTTCAGCTATTCTGTGCATGTGTAGTGATAGCATTTTGTGGTTTTAATTTGCATTTCCCTGGTGACTAATGAGTGTGAGTACCTTTTCATGTGTTTATTAGTCATTTGGGCAGCTTTTGTGAGATGCCTGTTTGAATCTTGTGTCCATATTTAAATTCAGTTGTCTGACTTTTTCTTACTGACTTTGTAGTACTTCTTTATATATTCTGGATTTGAATCCTTTGTCAGATGTTGTAAATATTACCTCCTAATCTGAAGGTCACCTATTTATTCTTTAAATGCTATCTTTAGATGAACAGAAGTTCTTATTGTGATATATGAGTGTACTTCAGCAAATTGCTCTTTTATGAATACCCTCTTTGTGTCTTGTTTAAGAAATCTTTGTCTGTTTCACAGTCACAAAGTCATTCTCCTATTTGTTTGAAAGATTTTTAAAATTTATTCTTGTATCTAGGGGAAGGGAGAGAGGTAGAGAGGGAGAAAAGCATCTCAGAGAGAAACATCGATTGGTTGCCTTGCCCCCACCAGGCAGAACCCACAACCTAGGCATGTGCTCTGACTGGGAATTGAACCAGTGACCTTTCGCTTTACAGAACAACACCCAATCAACTGAGCCATACCAGTCAGGACTTAAATCCCAAACTTCTGCATTTAAAGCTACAATCCATCTGGAACAGAATGTGTGTTTGGAGGGAGACAGGAGTGCAGATGTATTTTCCCTGTTTGTATGTCCAGCGGACCCAGCTCTGTACACGGGGGAGACCACTGTCCTCAGTTCAGTGCAGTGTTGCCTCTGCTACTAACCGTATGATCGTAGACCTGTGGTGTCTGCTTCTGGATTCTCTTTTCTGTCCATTGGTCAGCGTCTCTACCCTTCTACCCAAACCAGGTTGTCTCAAATACTACAGCTTTATCCTAAGTCTTTTTTTTTTTGCTTTACATTTTTTTCTTTTTAAATTCTAAGTCTTTTTTTTTAAACACCTTTTCAACAAGTATTTATTATTAGGTAAGCCATGATTCAGGATCCTAGGGTGGGACGTACTGAGGTCCCCCTTCACCGCCCTGGGAGAAGGATGGAGGACAGAGGGCAGGTGGGGTGCAGCCAGTTCAGGTCTTCTCAGGAAACGTGCCTTCTGCCCAGCAGTCATCCAGGCTGACAGCTAGGATACAGGGCAAAGGGACTGGTACCCACCGTAGGACATTCCCACACAGAGACATCACCCCTTGTAGCAGTCACTGCCTTCGCACAGTGGTGGGAGTCCAGGTAGTTCTGCCAGTAGTTCCTGGTCTGGTTCTGGTTGGGGAAGTGACTATCAAAAGAGCAGTCTGATAGTTCTTTTTTTTTTTTAATTTTTATTTTTTTAATTGATTATGCTGTTACAGTTGTTCTATTCCCCCCTTCATTCCCCTCCCCCTTACCCCCCATCCCCACCATTACTCCCCTTTAGTTTATGACCATGTGTCTCAAGTCCTTTAGATTCTATATTTCCCATGCTATTCTTGCCCCCCCCCATCTATTTTCTTTCTACTGTCTATGCTACTTATTTTCTGTACCTTCTCCCCCCTTCTCCTCCTCCCACTCCCTTGTTGCTAACCCTCCTTGAGATCTTCATTTCTATGTTTCCACTCCTGATCTAGCTGTCCTTTTAGTTTGCTTTCGTTTTAGGTGTGGTTGTTAATAACTGTGAGTTTGTTGTCCTTTCACTGTTCATGTTTCTTTAACTTCTTTTTCTTAGATAAGTCCCTTTAACATTTCATATAATAAGGGCTTGGTGATGATGAACTCCTTGAATCTGATCTTATCTGAGAAGCACCTTATCTGTCCTTCCATTCTAAATGAAAGTTTTGCTGGATAGAGCAATCTTGGTTGTAGGTCTTTGGATTTCATGACTTGGAATACCTCTTTCCAGCCCCTTCTTGCCTGTAAGGTCTCTTTTGAGAAATCTGCTGACAGTCTGATGGGGACTCCTTTGTAGGTGACTGTCCCCTTAGCTCTTGCTGCTTCTAGGATTCTCTCCTTGATTTTAATCTTGGCTAATGTAATGATGATGTGCCTTGGTGTGTTCCTTCTTGGGTCTAACTTCTTTGGGACTCTCTGAGCTTCCTGGATTTCCTGGAAGTCTATTTCCTTTGCCAAATTGGGGAAATTTTCCTTTATTATTTGTGCAAATAAGTTTTCCACTGGTGGCTGTGCCTTTCCCCTTTCTGGTACCCCCTATAATTCGGATATTGGAGCGTTTAAAGATGTCCTGGAGGTTCCTAAGACTCTCCTCATTTCTTTGAATTCTTGCTTCCTGACTCTTTTCTGTTTGGCCATTATTTGCTTTCTTCTGGTCCACTCCATTGATTTGAGTCCCAGTTTTCTTTTCATCGCTATTGGTTTCCTGTGCAATTCCGTTCATTTCAATTAGTTTCGCCTTCATATGTTTCTCTAATTTGTGGCTATAATCAACCAGTTCTGTGAGGATCCTGATGACCAGTGTTTTAAACTGTGCGTCTGAGAGTTTTGCTATTTCTTCATCTCTTAGGTCTATGGGCTCAGGGATTTTGAGAATTTGCGACATTTTTGGTCTGTTCTGGCCCTTTAAGTGTGAGAAGCGGCGCCTTGGACTCCCAGGTCGCTGGGTTGTGACGCTGTATGTGGAGGCGTGGTCAGAGTGGGGAAATGGCGGAGCCCTCTACTGCTGCTTGCCGCGGGGATGCCGGCCCCGGTCGAACCGCCCACTCCCTCGCCTGTCCGCTCGCGCACAAATAGGCGACCCCAGTCAACACGCAGCACCGCTTCCCCGCTGTCTCCTCCGCGGTCGCTCGCCTGGTCACTCGCTGGGTCGCTCACTAGGTCCAACCCTGCGCCTGGATTCCGCGCCTGAGCCCTTCTGACCGAGTCCTCCTGTGCAATCCCGCTCCACCAGTCACTGGTTTCGCCCCTTACCGGTCAGGCTGCAGAATTTGTTGTTAATGGACTTCCGAAAAGTTCAATTTTCCGTGTTCTGGCTGTGTTTTGTGTTGCTAATATTTAGTTGTCCCTAAACTTGGTTGTGTGAGAAGGCACGGCACATCCACCTATACCTCCATCTTGGCGGAAGTCCTGATAGTTCTTGATTTTGATTTTAATATCTTCTGCCATGTTGCTGACTCCTAAAGACACTCCTGCCCTGGCTGGTGTAGGTCAGTGGCTTGAGCACCGGCCTGTGAATGGAAGGGTCACAGGTTCGATTCCCAGTCAGAGCACATGCCTGGGTTGTAGGCCAGGTCCCCAGTTGGGGTTGTTTGAGAGGCAGCTGGTTGATGTTTCTCTCCCTCTCTTTCCTCCTCCCTTCTCCTCTCTCTAAAAGTAAAATTTAAAAAAATAAAATATTTTTTTAAAGTATGGAAAAAATAATAAAAAAGTAAAGACACTCTGGAAGCCACTTGCAGCTCAGTGCGACCCTCAACAAAGATCCTAAGTCTTGATATCGAGTCGTATAAGTCCTTTTGCTTTGTTCTTCAAGAATGCCTAGGCTGCTCTCAGCACTTTGCATTTTTATATGAATTTAAGATGAGTTTACCAATTCCTGTGCCCCCAAAATAATGCTGAGATTTTTTTACTGGGATTATGTTGAATCTACAGATTAATTTACTTTTTTCTAATATTGAGTCTTTCATTCCATGAATATAATGTAACTCTGTATTTCTTTTTCTCTTAAAATTTTTACAAAAAATTTCAAACATCTAGAAAAGTGGGAAGAATTAGTACAATAAATTCCTAAACATTCACCATCTAGATTTAATAGTTGTCACTAGTGTATCTTATTTGTGTCATATGCACATATATAATTCTTATTAAACCATTTCATATAAATTATAGATATAATAGACACTTTACCCATAAATATTTTAACATGTATCTTCAAAATCTAAGGACAGCTTCCAACGTAACCACAATTCCATGATCAGGAAAATTAATAGTTCCCAAATTTCTAATCTGTAGTTATTTTCCCAGTTACCCTCCAAATGTCCTTTGTTGCTCTGTTTTATTTTCTTTTTCAAAACAGTCTCCAGTCTAGAATCATGCATTGCTTGTTTACATCTCCTAAATCTCTTCTAACTTAGAACCATCCCCCTGTCTTTTTTTTTTTTTGACTGTCCTAAATGTTTATTAGGTAAGAAGTTTACAACCATTACTTATATTAACAGTAATGTTGGAGCTAGAGAGCACTGTGCCTTCTCCAAGCTGCATAGTGAGAACCACCAGCAGTGTGGCAGGAATGTGGCCTTTTCCAAGGCTGTGTCTCTTGCTGCCCGCAAGTGGCAGCCCTTGCATCTCCCTGTGCTTGCAGGCTGGTTTGCTGATCCATTGGGTGTCAGGGTTCCTCCTGATGGCCTTATGGAATGCACAGACTGAAATACAGGCCCCTGACTTTTTGAAAGTGACTGACTTTTGTTGGAGATCAGGATAGTAGTCTTGTCAATATCCTCAATTCTAGATCTGATTGTTTGCTCATAGCCTTGTTTACTTTGTCCCTCTGTGTCCGGAACTGCCTGGAAATTGAAACCTGCGTCTAGACTTGAGCAGATACAAATAAACCTCACTAAGCCCTACCGGCCTCCTTCTCTGATAGCCCTTATCAGAGTTGTGTGAGGCCAGCTGTGTGTGAGCAGGTGTAGAAAGCTCATTACAGTCTCAGTAAGTGGCAGCAGTTCTTAATATTTGTCCCCACCTTCGGCAGCATTTTACCCTAATATTTGGTCCCCGGAAAGTTATGAGGCTTCTCTTGCCCCAGCCAGGCAGCAGTGGCTTCCCCCTAGCTGGGGCTTCTGACCCCAGGCTTGGACATCCCCCAACTTTCTCTCCTCCCACCCCCAGACAACACAGGCAGCTCCACTTACCGGCCACCCCCGCGGACCCGGGAGGTGATGATTAATGGGCAAATGGTGAAGTTGAAGTATTGTTTCACCTGCAAGATGTTTCGGCCACCCCGGACCTCACACTGCAGTGTCTGTGACAACTGTGTGGGTAAGTGAGGGGCCTAAGGGAAGGGTGTGGGAAGCCCTGAGAGAGAGGGAGACTTGGAGACGGGGGTATCACTCCTGTAGTGGGTGGGCAGTGTGTTGGGAGTATCCAGGGCTGGGCAGGAAGCCTGGTTCACTCAGGTGTGCTCTGACTGAAGAGGAACCTGAGTGTGACCAGTGGTGTCTTGGCTTCAGCCCAGGATTGGTGGATTCCTTCCCCCAGTTCTGAAGTGTGGGGCAGACACAGGGAGGCCCTGAACTCTTTCCCAGGCCTGAGCCTCATCCTCAGTAGGTCCAAGGTCCCAGGAACCAGAGACTGGAGCAATAACATTCTAGATTTGTTTGGTCCAAAAAGGGAGTGATATATCGTATTAAAAGACTGATCTGATTCCCAGGGTTTGGGAGAGACAAGAACCTGGGAATAGATTGTGGAGAGGATGTAGCTGGGATTGGAAGCTAAGATGCCAGTCCACAGCTGCAGTGGTTTCTGGGTAACCAGAGGCTGTTTTGTCCCCTCTCACTGCTCTCCAGAGGGTGGAAAGCCCTGATAGGGACCAAGGTGTGCCCCTGGGAGGGTGTCGTAAAGGAAATGCTATGCAAGAGGACCCAGGTGACCTAAGCCATGGTGACTGTGCACAGTCTCCAGGGCAGTGAGCTCATCACACTGGCTCAGCATTCCCTGAGCAAGAGAACAGTGGGGAACACCCCATGATGGCAGGCAATGAAGTGGGTGACTCAGTGGGCATCATTCATCCATGAGAATCTGCCCCGCCCGCCCCCTGCAAAGGGTGCTGGCCTTGGTGTGAGGCCTGCAATGGGCTTGTGACCCATATTTCCACAGGGGACTTTTCTCACCAGTCCGGGTGTGACCCTACCCCCAGGGCGTGGTACCAGTGTGAGATCAGTCCTCTGATGCCAGTTCTCCACTATTTACATAGTGGCCTAGCCCTTCCCTGGGCTTCTAGTTTTAGCTCAAGGTACAGGGATCATTGGTTGTCATCTAGGCTGGGGTCGTAGGCCAGGCAACAAATACTTTTAGTGAATCTTCCACGTAGCAGCCACTGCTGAACCCTGGATTCAGCTCAATGTGAAGCCAACACAGGCCCCCTCATGGAGCTTAAATCAAGCTGGGGGAACTGGCCTGTTCACTAATTGTAAATAAGTATGTAAACACCATGAGCAAAGTGCTTCAAAAGATAAGTGCCCAGAAAACAGGGGACCCTTGCCTTGTCTGGGGTCAGAGAATACTTTTTCAGAAGTGGCTTTATAGCCAAGACATGAAGGAGGAATTACTCTTCACCAGGAAAGAAATGGGGAAGAATGTGTGGGCAGCGGACCCTGTATTCAAAGGACCAGAAAAATGCAGGGAGCATCTGAAGAACTGAGAGCTGCTGTGGAGAGCGAGGAGTAGGAAAGCCCCAGCCCTGGTGAGGCCTCTGAACACCTGTGCTGACTGCAGGCCAGCCCTGTGCTAACCTGTCCCCTCTGGCCCTTTTCCAGAACGGTTCGACCATCACTGCCCCTGGGTGGGCAACTGTGTGGGGAGACGGAACTACCGCTTCTTCTACGCGTTTATTCTCTCCCTCTCATTCCTGACGGCATTCATCTTCGCCTGCGTGGTCACCCATCTAACGCTGCGTGAGTGGGCAGTGGGATTGCGGAGGAGCAGAGGGCAGGCCCGCAAGCTCAGCCAGGCTGAAGGGCTGTGGTCGCCGTCCCTCTGAGCTGTATCCTTTCCTATTTCTTCCTCCCCAGGCTCTCAGGGAAGCAACTTCCTCTCCACTCTGAAGGAGACACCAGCAAGATATCCTTTGCCTTTTGTCTTCTAGTGGATGCCCTGGTGGGAACTGAGACCCCCTCACTGGGGCAGGTCCCCACACTTCATCCTGTAAAGAGGAGAAGAGTGTAGAGATGATGTTTGTCCTCTAGAATCCAATATACCAGCAGCATCTGTTCACACCCAGGCTTGAGCTGATCCTAAATGGACTGTTGTGGGGATGGGGTGGCTGAGAACTCTCAGGGGCACAGTTCTTGTCTTCCCTTAAGACACCAGGCTCCCTGAACCACCTCATGTCCATCACTCTGGGCTCATCCTGTTCTTGAGACAAGCTCCCAAACCCTTCTTGGGGCTCAGGAGGTGGTGCTGCTGAGAACTGGTGACTGGGTCATAGAAAGGTTACACACTTCATTTCCTTTCTGGGAAAAAGGTAGGTGAGAAAGGCTGGGTGTGACAAGATCCCAGGCATGGGGAGGCTCCCAGCTCTGATCCCAGCTTGGGTCCTTGACTGCTCTGCTCACTGTGCTGGAGTTGGTGATCTGCTTCTTCTCCATCTGGTCCATCCTGGGCCTCTCAGGGTTTCACACTTACCTCGTCGCCTCCAACTTGACAACTAATGAAGACGTGAGTAGGGCTGGAGCAACCCCTCGTTTCTGTGCAGGACCCTGGGCAGGAGACAGGGCTGGGGGAGCTGGCAGGGCAGCAGTGCATCCCCAACTCTCAGACTGCTGCAGAGACATGGGTGGAGGTGATAGGCAGCCAGGCGTCTCCTTCAGTGCTCGTGGCCTGGCCCTGGGAGACCCAGTGCTGGTGTCTGAAGCCCCCACATGCCTTGGCCCCTTGGCGCAGGTTCCCAGGGCCCCTTAGATGCTTCCTCCCTCACCCCACAGAAGCAGCACTCATGCCGCAACAGCCATTACATTTGGCCAGCATGTCACTGTTTCCAGAGTTCTTTCAGTTCCCATCATCTCTTTGAATCCTTTGCCAACTACGAGGCAGAAGGAATAGGGATGCTTTTTCTCCATTGGATGGCTGAGTGACTTGCCCCAAGGTCAGGCAGCTGGGAAGGAATAGAGCCAGAGTTTCACCCATGCTCACTGTTTACTTACAGGCAGCAGAGATATAACTGTTCTCAGGTATCCTTGGGGCTCCCTGAGGCTTTCTTAGTGAGGGGGTCAGCCAGAACAGGACCATGAGTTTCCATCTACCTTCCCTGCCTGCTGTCTTACAGAACCCCCGCCAACAAGCATTGTTTGAGCACTCACTCTGTGCCCAGCCCTGGGCCAGGGGCCTGACCTCCCCTTCCCGTTCTCCCAAACAATATAAAAGCAAATGATAGCACCCATTCCAGGGTTGCCATCTGATACTAAGAGGCCCATCAACCAACAATACATTTCTTGATCTCAGCTTCTCATTTGGGGAAACAAAACTTAACATGCATGATGAGGTATCGTGTGCTGGGCGATTGGTATAGAGTAGAAATGACATCAGCCAGCATCTCCCAAGGTGGTTTCCTGGGTGCTGGTTCTGTAGGATCTCACTAGGGGTTAAGCCAAGAGGACTGATATAGCCAAATAAATTTGGAAATCTATGGGTTAAGGTCAAGCAAGAGTCCTTCACTGCTAAACTTCTCAGTGCCTTTGATAGCCAGCTTCACAGAGCTAGAGATGGGCAAGATTTCATCTGATGCCCCAACATTGCTCTCAGAGAGTTGGTATCAGAGAGTTCTCCATTTTTCAAATGATTCAGAGAAGAGGTGCTCTGTCCAGGATCATGTAGTGAGTGAGTGGGAGGGCCAGTATTCGTAGTCAGGCAGCCTGAGCCCTGTCTTGCCCTCCTCTTAGGTGACTGGCCAAAGAAGGAAGGATACACCCAAAATGTTTCTTTTGGAGGCTTCTCTGGCTCTATTCTTTCTTCTGTCTCGTTTGGGTCCTCCTTCTCTCTGCTGGGTGCCCCCAGCGTCCAGAAGTCCCCCACATTCTCTCTGAATGGCCTGGGTTAAAGATGTATCCCCTCCAATAGTCTAGCTGGAATAGGTTTCAGAAATCAGCTGGAATTCATCAGTTTTCCCCTGCCTCTAGACTTTCCTTCTAGAAGAGCAAAGGGAGTTAGTTACCTGACCCAGACTTCCTTCCTGCTTGCAGATCAAAGGCTCATGGTCCAGTAAGAGGGGCGGTGAAGCCTCTGTCAATCCCTACAGCCATAAAAGTGTTATCACCAACTGCTGTGCTGTGCTCTGCGGCCCCTTGCCTCCCAGGTGAGATGGGGTAACCCTATGAGTTCATACCTCTCAAAGAGGCTCTAGAATCAGCAGACCTCGCTTTACATCACAGTCCTCTCTATCCACCATCCCCTGCTGAATGCCCTGAGTGCATTAGTCACATAAAGGAGTGCCATGGAGAGTTTTAATTTTTAATCACATGCTCATTGTAGAAAAAATTTAAGTACAGAATATAAAGAAGATGCCCTGGCCAGCGTGGTACATTTGGTTGGAGTGTCATCCTGTAAACCAAAAGATTGCAGGTTCACGGTCAGGGTCACATGCCTAGGTTGAGGGTTTGTTTCCTGGTCGGTCTGGGTCAGGCATATAAGGAAGGCAACCAACCAATAGATGTTTTTTTCTCGTCCCTTCCCCTCTCTCTGGAATGAATATATATATATACATATGAATTTATTAAATAAAAGGAGAATATGAGATCTCACATGTAATCTTACTCCCCAGGGATAACCACAATTCATGTTTTGGCCACACATGAGCAACACTGCCCTTCTGGTGCTGTTGGCCAGACTGGGTGGGGCCTCCATTCTCTCTGGGGAAGAAAGCCTGGGTGGTTCATCCCTGCTAGGAAGTGCCCCATCCGTCCTGACAGCAGGGGGCGCCAGAGTGCCAGACAAGGAGCTAAATCACAGTGGACACTGGGAACAAGACTTCCCACACTGTCCCCCTCACCTCCCACCAATCCTGCCCGGGGCATAAATGATAGGAATTGCACTATCTCCAAATGTGCTTTCATCCTTACTTTTCCCCCAAACTCAAAGGTTGGCTTCTTGGCAGTCACACAGAAGGGTGGATCAGTTTGAATGATCATTGAATAAATTCTGTGGCCAAAGGCTAGGTACCGGGAGTGCAGAGAGGGCCCTTTTGGAAAGGAGGAGTCATGATCCCCAGTGGAAGGACAGCTGTCTTTTCTTCAGACTTTCTAAGGCTTGGACTTCCCCTGGCCAGGCTGTGAACTCTGCCATCTAGCCTCCCCCTGCCGGACCCCCCCCAGCCCTGCCACCATCTGGAACTCTGGTGTCAGGCAGGGCCCTCACATGTCCCCCTTGTATTTTGGAAGCCTGATTGACCGGAGGGGATTTGTGCAGTCTGACACCGTATTGCCCTCACCCATCAGAAGTGACGATCCAGCCTGCGGAGCCAAGCCTGATGCCAGCATGGTAGGAGGCTACCCCTGAACCTTGCCACCTGCTGGCCTGTTTGCCCTTCTGCAATCACCTGCCACCTTCCACACCTGCTGGGACCCTCCCCATTCCACCCAAGCGAAGCAGACCTGGCAAAGACTCAAGTCTTTTCGTATTTATTTCCCACCCTGCGTGGCTGTCCCTACACTGTTCCATGGCTGTACCCTCTGCTCCCCAAACCCAGGTTCCCACAACCATGGGCCTGAGTTCCCCGCCAAAGCTGATCAGTGGCAGGAGTGACAGAATAGAGAGACCAGGGCCAGGCCACCCAGAGGACCACGCCAAGTTTCTGTGCCAGGGCGAGCCCTGTGTGAGTGAGGGTGTGGACTGAGTGTGATGCCTCCCATTTGGTGAAGCTGCTGAGCCTGACTGAGCCGGGGTCCTGGGGTGAGGCACGGCCCATGAGCAGTTGGCCCTGGACCATGGGCTGTGGGAGAGGATGCTTCCTTGGGCTGCTTTGGTTTGCGAGCTCCTTCATTTTTTTTGTGATGATCATTCTTTTTTCTTCAGTTTTTTTTTGTTTGTTTTTGTTTTTGTATGGAGTTGGCTGGTATGATGGAGCTGGGTTCTAGGTAGAGAAGGTGGAGTTGGGAGGTGGGTAGAGGGGCAGCCTGTGTCAGAGGAAGCCAAACCAGCCAGCCAGGCATCCAGAGACCTCAGCTCCTATATGATTCCTGGGTGGCACACTAGGAAGTGGGGGGCCTTGCCCTTTATCTGCCCATGGAGGATTCTCTGTGGGATCCCAGCTTGGCCCCCATCTCTCTCCCAAGTCAAATCTGGGATGGGTAGATTATACTCATGCTGGCAATACTTGAAACGGGTTTATTAATGCTGGGTATTTTGCACAATTTTATAGACCTCTTTTCTACATAGCATTTTTAAATGGAAGAAGAAGAAAAGCCAAATTGCTGACTGTGTAGTGCCAGCTTAAGGGTTATCGGAAGGCAAGTTGGTTTTAATAAGTTTATTGCTAGAGACCTTCTGGCTGTGAATGAGTGTGTATGCGTGCACACACACGCTAGCCCTTGTACAAATGTGGCTGGCTCCCACTTTCCCACATGCCCTGGGCTGCCCCCTTCCCTGCCATCCCCCTCCAGTGTAGGCTGGCAACAGCAGGAGCAGCATGTACCATGGGGACAGGGAACATGCACATTGGTTACTAGAGACCCCTAGGCTCCTGTTGTGGCTCAGCCCCTGTCCTGCTACCTTTCCCTCCTTCAGGGACTTCAGACAGGCAGTGGCTAGGGACTCAGCCAAGCCCTACCCCACCCCTGCCACCCAGGCCTCAGGTGAGGCATCTAGCTGGGATCTGCCTAGACAGGCCGAGGCTGGGTGTGGTGGATGGGGTAATGGCTGTGGGGAGCGGCTGCCATCCTACAAGCCACACCCCCTCCTCCAAACCCTGAGTATGGGACCCAGTGCTAGGGGCTGGGGGACAGGGAAACTCTGCCAATTGGAGGCCTCTGTCCACAGAAAAGGAAGAAAGGAGCAGGGCTGAGGCAACTGAAGATTGGCCTAAATCTAGGCCAGAGACTCAGAGGATGTCCCTCCTCTGCTGGGAGCTATAGTTTCTTGTCAAAATAGATAGGAAATGTCCCTCTGTCCCCCTCCTTTGCCCTTCAAGTGGGCAGAGGTCCTTGGAAAGTGACATAGGAAGTCCCCTCATCTTGCCCTTCCTTGTTCCAGAGGCTAGTGGGTCACAGGCTGCTGAGAAATGGCAGCCAGCAAGGGTCCCATCTTGGACAAACAACTTTGCCCCCGCCTCAGTGCCCTGAGCCAAGCTGCAGTAGCGCTGGGAGGTGGGGAGGAAACTGGCTGGAGGAGGGACTCCCATCTGCCTTTTATTTAAGCCAGTATTCTTTTCTGCTTGTAATAAAATTTTTGTTTTTAAGAGTTGATTTGCTTTGGTCGGTTTTTGTTTGCTCATCCTTTGCTGAGGCCTCAAATGGCAGCCGTCTATTCTTTCAGTCAAACTCGATCTTTCCTGGGGTGACAGAGAGAGGGCAGGCAGCCCATCAACCCGGCTAAAGTTCTCTCCTGGCTGGAGTCTGTCTACTAGAGGCAGAATAGAGGCAGCTAGGCCCCATAGGCGAGTGAGAAGAGGCCATTCCGTCCCCTGTGCCTTCCCCTGCCTCAGGGTCTTGGAGACCCCCAAACCCTTCTTCCTTGCTGTCTTTTTACTCTGATACCCAGTGACTGCTCGGCTAAGAAAATGTTCAGGAGACGGTAGATTGCAGTTTGAGAGCCAGCACCTTCCTGGTCCCCACCCCCATCTGGGCAGCAGAGCCCAGCCAGACACCTGGTAACACTGGCCCACCTCTCTGGTATCTCCTCCAGGAGGACACCTGTCAGGATTTTGCCATCTCCTGCACAGCCTGAGGGGAGCTAACAGTCCTCTTTGCAGAGGGTTAGCTGGTAAGACCATATATCCCCTGTCAGCCAGCACTGCCTACTCCCCTTACACATCCATCTCATCCTCATCGCATGCCTCACCAACCTCATGGAGCCCGTTCATCTGTCTGGTGTGTGGTGTGGTGTGTATGCTGGCAGTGGTAGGGTCCTGAGGGCTGCCCTCAGAGCTGAAGGATGGGGGTGTGGGGCTAGGGCTAAGAGCCCAGCCCCACTGCAGATGAGGAAGTAGCTTCGCACACAGCAGCTCTCCAACTGGCACAGGAGGTAAAGGGTGAGGCTGGAGAAAGGATGGCATACCTGCTGAGGTGCTCGGGCCTGTTCTGGTGGTGTCCTGGTGTGCAGGGGCCCTTGATCACTAACACTGTGTCCTGGCTTTCTGTCCCTCCCGAGCTTTCACTTGCCCTTTTCCTCTCCTGCTTCGTTGCCTGCTGCGGAGTTTTGGCCCACCTGTGGGAAGAGGCAGGTGCTGTGGCGCCCCTGCAGGGCTCCTCCTCCCTTCCAATCCCGCTAACCCTCTCTCTTCTCCTTCTTTGCTGTCCTGTCCGGGATCTCCAGTATGTGCAGGGGCTTAAGGACCTCCTGAGGACTGCGGCTCTCTGCCTCTCCAGGAGTGGCCTGGGGGGAGCCAGGCACCCGGCACCTCTACCTGCCTAACCTGTGGCCCATCTGCCACCATCTGTGCCTACAGGGTCTACCCCCAAGCCTGCCCCACACATGTGTACTCTAGAGTCCCCCCACAGGGGGCAGGGGCTGGCCTCTTTGCCCCCATTCCTGCTCCATGCCGGCCAGAGTGTAGAAAAGCCATAGCGCAGCTGTCAGCATAATGGTATATAATACTATGCTGAAACTCGCCCTCCCCTCTTCCACCTTACTTTCTCTTCCCCTGATTTGTAAGGTGTCAAGACTCTAGGAATCTTGTCTTACAGCCTGCCTCCCTTCCCCCTGGAATCAGACATAGCCATAGTCGAGCTGAGCAGGTTTCTTCAGGAGCTGTCTGGGGTGTTGATGGTTGATGACGCTGCTGAACAAGTTTGGTAACTGTTTTAAGCACAACTGGTTTGACACTGTTCCCACGGCCCCCTCCACCCCCCAGCACCAGGGTAGGTAGGTTGCAAGGAGGACTCTTGTACCTTTTGCTCCAGGCACTGAGGGGCTGAGTTAGCTTGGACTGCCCCTTGTTCTTCAGAGGAACTAAAGGAAACCAGGGTAAGCTTCAGAAATCTGCTGGACCCACAGCTGGGGGCTGCTTGTCTGCTGTTCTGTACCTTTTTAAACCAAAATAAAGATGTCCCTCTTCTTGACGTACCCTTGGCTGGCTGGTGCCACCTTTACTTTGGGGTCTGGGGTGGGGCCTGCAATGAATATGCAGGAGAACTGCTGGCTCACAGCTGCCAGCTTTGTTGCAGTTGGTCGGTGCTGTTTGGAGATTATTTTTAAGATTATTTATTTATTTATCTTTAGAGGGGAAGGGAAGGAGAGAGGGAGAGAAATATCGATGTATGGTTGTATCTCATGCGTCCCCTGCTGGGAACTGGCCTGCAACCCAGGTGTGTGCCTTGACTGGGAATTGAACTTCGATACTCTGGTTCGCAGGCTCGGGCTCAATCCACTGAGCTACGCCAGCCAGGGCTTATTTGGAGATTTTAAAAAGGCACAGCAAAGCCAGAAGTGACACAGGAAGAGTGACCAGCATTCTCTACACTCTGCCCCTTCAAGAACTCCTGGTCTCAGTTCCAGAGACCTTCAAGCCTTAGCTGACCTCTGAACTCTGAAAGGTCCCAGCCTAGGCTGTGACTGAGGGTTTGACTCCAGTCTGGGGCTGTCACACCCCTGAACTGAGCCCAGCCCAGAGTAACACTCTCATGGAGCCTTCCCTCCTCCCAGCTGCCTCCCCGCATCAAGATGTGCACACAGTGTTCCGAGAGCTAAAAAATAAAATAAAATAAAAATAAATAACTACTGCAGTCATTTAGCAAGGACTTGCCAAGTGCCAGGCCTGTTTTCTCACGTGAGCTATAAGGAAGCCTTTTTACAAATTAGAGAACTGTGGCTCAAGGAAGGCATAGGAGTTGCCCAGGGTCTCCCAGCCAATAAAGTAGCAAATTCAGGATTTGAACCTGACCTCTGACCCTTCTGCACTACCCAAGGAATGAATAGGGCTGCTTCTCAGAAGGAGAAATTCTGAGAAGAATTTCAATTAAAGAATGTCATTCACAACCAGCAGGGGGCTTAGGTCTTCAGGACCTCCTTGCATCAACAGAGAAACTGAGGCTCAGAGCCAGGAACCTGCCCAAGGCCTTATAACAGAGTTGGAATGCAGTCTCACGCCCTGAACTCATTACATTCTGTTCTGAAAATTCCACACCATGTCCTAGACTGGACTGGTCTAGGAAATGTGGGATACTTTTAACAGTAGTATGTTAAGGAGGAAAAGTGTCAGGATAGCTGACTCAAAGTAATCTAATCCCCCCCACACACCAAAGACAACTAGTGGAATGAACTCTTGGCTGGATAACTGAACTCTCTGGTTCACAACCAGCCAGGGGGAGAAGATGCTGTAGGTTCTATAGTCACCTATTTAGTTCGATCCTGCTAAGACTGGAAGAATTTCCTAGGAAATTTTCCCCAAAATCTTAACCAGAGTCCCTCCTGCTGCAATCAGAGCCCTAATCCTGTTCTCAGTGGATATAGGCAGAAACTACTGTATTTTTCTGTGTATACCAGGCTCCCATGTATAATGCACACCCACGTTTTTGGCCCAAACTTCCAGGAAAAAAAATCTTTTGTTTCAATATTTTAATTCAATTATTTATTTTTATTTAGATACTTGTATTTTTTGTACTATAAAGGAATTTTAGCATTTATTTTTTAACATATTATGGTACAAGAAATTTTATGTCACAAATAGTTACAAAACTCAAGAACAGATAAAAGGTATTTCAGGTACTACCCATATATAGTGGGCATCCTTATTTTTTCCCTCAAAAATTTGGGCAAAAAAGTGCATATTATAACACGACAAAATGCGGTAGTTGCTTTCTGCCTTTCTCTGTACCATAACCCTTCAACGCCTGTTTAACAGCTAAGAAAGATTGGTTGTCCAGGGGATCAGAGACCATAAGCCTGCTGGTAGAATGGATATTATACAGAAGGGTGGGAGGTAGTAGGCAGGATGAGGAAAGCCCCTTTGGGCTGCAGCCCCAGCTCCTGTGCTGCTGACTCAGACAGCTGACTGGAACTCTGTGCCCTGCTGGGGCCTGCTCCCTCCCGCCTGCCTGGGCTTCTGGACTTGGGAAATGGAGGCCTGGAGGCAAAGGGAGGTGCCCGAGACAGGAACTGAGTCAGGATCAACAGGCCAGAGCGGGCAGCGGAGATGTCAGGCTGCCTGGCTCTCAGATTCAACAGGGCAGAGAGAGAGGAGCGAAGGGGCTTCCCATCTGTGTTGAGGGCATGGAGCTTGCTGGTGCCACCTGCCACGAGGCCTCCTGGCTTGAGTGATAAAAAGGGGCATGCTCACTCCCTACAGACAGAAATAGCTCCAAAATTGCCAAACCCTGCCTCCCAGGTTTATGCTGTTCTGGGATCTCCAGCTTTCCACCATGACTTGGAAAGCCTGGACTGGGTGACTACTCAAAGGAAGGTCTTTGAGGGCCCACAGCCCTGCATAGTGCTGGAGGAATGTCCAAGATGGAGAAGGAGAAGGCAGTGTGGAGTGAGCACATCTGACCATTGATCCATCTTCTTTCCTACGTGGGCACCCAGCTGAGCAGGCTCCATTCGGTCCTTCCTCATTTCAGAGGCCCCCGTTCCATGTTCATGCTATGAGTGTATATGCTTAGAATAATAAAGTTGGTTGGATTTTTTTCACATAATAATAGCTATCATCCACTCAACTAAGTGCATTCCATCAATTAATTTAATCCTCCCAACAAGCCCCATTTTACACTTAGGAAAACAGGCCCACAGAGGTGAAGTCACTTGGCACAGGCTACAACAGCTTGTAAGAATTGAACCCAGCTGGTCTGATTCCAAAGATACTGGCTATTCTGTCTCTCAGAAAAATATTGCACATTCGTGATTGGTAACTTGAGAATACAAAAAGGGAAAACAATCACTCACAGTGTCACTACTTAAAGATGCCCTCTGTAAGTTGTATTTCCTTCCCATCTTTTTCTGTCTGATTTGAGCAAAGCCTTCAGGATATCTGCCTCTGTTTCCTTGGGAAACCTGTAGCATCAGCCCAGATATGTCGCTACTTTTCCTCCTAAGGGGCAGAGCTCTTCCTTGGGCCTAAGACTCCCTCTCTCCAGAAGGGGAGGATGGGTATTCACACACCAAGATGGACATGGACTCGGACTCGGGGAGGGACAGGCCTGTGAACTGGTCCTGGCTCCAGGATTAAGCTGGCAGGATCCCGGTAAGGAGAGCCCCACCCTGAGCCCCACCTGAGCTTTAGCTAGGGGTTGGGCAGATAAGCAGGAACCCACCTGCATGGGCACAGTGCCAACATAACTCTTGGCTGCACAAGGACAGTGCCCCAGCTAACAGGGACAGAAAGTTGGCAACAGACATCTCTCCATCTCTGAGGCCTCTGACACAGGTCAGAGGTGGGCCATGGTCAAAGGGAAGGGGCAGGAGAAATTTTGAGAGGCAGGCTATGGGAGGCAATGCTCAGCTGGGACTGCTGCCCCATAAAACAGAATGGTGTGTGTCATCACTACCTCCTTTTTCTTAGTCCCATCTCTCTCCCCAGTTGCTAGCGTCCCCCCTGGGGAACGAAATTGGGCTGAGCACCCAGGTGGCCTGCTTCCCAGCCTCTGACAGAAGGTGAGCTGAGTCAGGCAGGAAAGTGGGGCAGCCAGCAAGCTGGGCTCCCACCCCTTGTGAGCCCCACTGATACAGGATGGCTGGCAACTTGGAGGGGGCAGGTGACCTGGTGTGGAGAGCCAGAGGGTAAGTCCTCAAACAAGTGGCAACAGGCCACCAACTTAAAAGGGAAAATTGTGCTGCGATGGGAAAGGTGTCCAACAAACCTACTGGGTGACTAATTACAGTGGCTGGGCTGGAGCGTCAGAGGCTGCTCATTAAACACCTCATTAAGTGGCACCCTGAAAACTGCCACCTGTGCATTCTGGGAGCTCAGAGGGGACATGACCCTAAGGGAGAATGAGGATGGGGGATGGAACCATTTCAAGAAGCTTGGCTATCACTTCTAAATACATCCTGGAGCTCACAAGTCCAAGGCCTTGATGGGAGAGAAACCAAAGGAAGTAGGATGCAGGGGGCTTAGTAGCTGTGTGACCTTGGGCAAATCTTATCCCTCTCTGAGCCTTAGTATTCCTATCTCTAAAGTAGGGTAGTAATCACATTCCTGCTCACCTCAGAGACACAGTAGGGATTAAATTAATAACGGATATGGAGGTGCTTGGGAAACTGCAGAGACCTACCTAAACATGAATGATCTCACCTAAACCAAGGGGAGAACCTATCTAGTAGGAATAGGAACACCATCCTCCTGCACCTGGGTTTATGGGGTCTGGCTAGGCTGACACAGCCAGGTGGTGAAGCCATCCTTAGCCCCTGGAAGGACACCATGAAGGGGAATATGATTGGAGAAACTGGGGCAGCTACCTATGTAATAGAGCCTGGAAAGGTGCTTGTGCAGGTGGGGCCAACGCCCAGATTCTCCTGCTGACTGTCCGGATGACTCACCCCACATCCCAGCCCTTTACCTTTAAGGAAGCCGGAAAGGGTGTGAGTAGAGCAGAGAGAGGGAGGTCCAGGTCCCCAGTCCCGCCCTTTGCCCCTCCCTCCCCACCCTTCTCTGGGCCAGGCCGTTCAGCCAAAAGGCAGGCAGGGAACTGGAGAGGCACAGAACCCAGCTTGATCCTGAGGCAGCCAGTTAGCCCAACGCCTGTCTGTCTGTCCCCAGAGCCATGGAGAGAGCAAGTCTAATCCAGAAGGCCAAGTTGGCAGAGCAGGCTGAACGCTATGAGGACATGGCAGCCTTCATGAAAAGCGCTGTGGAAAAGGGTGAGGAGCTTTCCTGCGAAGAGCGAAACCTGCTGTCAGTGGCCTACAAGAATGTGGTGGGTGGCCAGAGGGCTGCCTGGAGGGTCCTGTCCAGTATTGAGCAGAAAAGCAATGAGGAAGGCTCAGAGGAGAAAGGCCCAGAGGTTCAAGAGTACCGGGAGAAGGTGGAGACTGAGCTCCGGGGCGTGTGCAACACTGTGCTGGGCCTTCTGGACACCCACCTCATCAAGAAGGCTGGTGATGCCGAAAGCCAGGTCTTCTACCTGAAAATGAAGGGTGACTATTACCGATATCTGGCCGAGGTGGCCACCGGTGACGACAAGAAGCGTATCATCGACTCTGCCCGGTCAGCCTACCAGGAGGCGATGGACATCAGCAAGAAGGAGATGCCACCCACCAACCCCATCCGCCTGGGCCTGGCCCTGAACTTTTCTGTTTTCCACTATGAGATCGCCAACAGCCCTGAGGAGGCCATCTCACTGGCCAAGACCACCTTCGATGAGGCCATGGCTGACCTGCACACCCTCAGTGAGGACTCCTACAAAGACAGTACTCTCATCATGCAGCTGCTTCGAGACAACCTGACTCTGTGGACGGCCGACAGTGCTGGAGAAGAGGCGGGTGAAGCACCAGAGGAGCCCCAGAGCTGAACCACACTGCTACCCTCCCTGCCCTGCCCTGCCCTGCCCTACTCACTCCGGTCCCCCACCCCTAGCAGAGAGGACTACTATGGGGTGGGAGGCCCGACCCCTTTCCCTAAATGCTCTGCCCCAGCTCAGAGAAGCTCCATAGAGAGGGACCAGAGGAGCCGGGGCCTCCTGGAACCATTGGATCCCACTCTTCTGGCGCTGCTGGGCGCTCACCCAGCCCTGGTCTCTGTACCTGCTCCTTGAGACCCCACCCGTGAACCAGGTCATTTCCTTCTCCCTCTTGACTCCTTCCTGCCCCTGCTGCCTCTGGATCTTAGGAATTGAGGAGTGTCCCACCCTTGTGGCAGAGAAGTGGACCGTGTGGCAGAGGCTGGAGACAAGAGTGTGTGTGTGTGTGTGTGTGTGTGAGAGAGAGAGAGAGAGAGAGAGAGAGACCCGGAATGAGAGGGAAAGCATGTCTGCTGGGTGTGACCATGTTTCCTCTCAATAAAGTTCCCTTGTGACACTCCTCCTGTCTTTTCCAGTTATTGGCGGAGGGTTGGGACTAGTATTGGTGCATGATTTACAGAAAACCTGATTTTGGCCCTCTGATTTGGGGCCCTAACTTCCCACAGGGCTGGCTTAGTGACCCGCACGCAAGACTTTGGGGCTGGCGACTAGGTGAGAAGCTGGGGTCCGGCTCTCTCCATCAATTCCCAAACAAACAGGTCTGGTCCGGGAAGGGTCAGGTGAGCGCAAAGGCGGCTCTAAGGCTCTTCTGCTGAAGAGCTCAGATCCGAGGGGGCAGGAACCAGTGAAGCCTCAGGTATAAGGTCTAAGGACAGCCCCGTACGAATAGGCTGCAGTAAGCAGCACTGAATCCACCCCCTGCCCCCGATTTGAAAGCGGAGGATAGTCCCATCAGGTGCTCAGAACTGAGTGGCGGGAAGTACGATCCGGGACAGAAGTGTGACGCCACCATTAAAAGCCCAGTTCTGAGGAGAGAAGAACGCACCACAGCCTTCGCAGACGGGACAAAATGGGACAGGCTGGCGGAGAGGAGGCACTAGCTAGGTGGGCAGAGCCTCGTAGAACTAAGCTCCGTCTCACGCTTCTGACCCGGCCACCTCCCCGCGGGAAACAACGTGGGGAGCCCTGCGGCCGTCTCCTCGCCCTGTGCCGGCTGAAGGCGGGTGGGCCCGACGCCTATAGAGAGGGGGCTGCTCGAAATACTGGCCAATGGGAGAGTGAGCGGCGGCGCGCGCATGCGCCTTCAGACGCCCTCCGGGCTTTGCGGGCGCCGAGACTGCTTTGCTGAACCGAGGATCCCTCAACGCCTGCCGAGAGCCAGGGGCGGCGCTTTCCGGGTTTCACTCAAACAAGTTGCTACCCGCCCGACCTGGGATCTGGGATCCACAAAGCAGCGGAACGGGGCGGTCCGGAAAAAGCAGTCCCCTCCCTTTGAGTCATTTGCTTAACCTTGGGTGCCTGACTAGCAGGGCCGGCTGGGAAGAGGCCACCAAGGGGTCTACACACACACACCAGAATCCAGACAGCCCTGAACCAGTGGGCAGGAGGCTTAGACGGTGTTGTGGGACCTAGACTTGGTTGTGGGACCTTGAAAAAGCCATTATCCCTTCCTGGGCCTTATTTCCCCTTCTGTATCTAAAGGGGCTTGAATTTAAGGCTCTCGAAACCTGAAGAATCTGAGTTCTGGAGTCAAACCGCCTGGGTTGACTCCCATCCTGCCTTGGCCAAGGTTCTTTAATCTTGCTTAACTTTTGTGTCTTCGTTTATAAAGTGAGGATTAAAAAATAGTACCTTCCTCTTAAGAGTTGCTGTGAAATTTGAGAAAAATAAATGCACTTAGAGTAGTTCATAGTACATGTTAGCTATTATTAATCCTTCTAGTATCTATAATAGTCTAGGATTTATCCAGCATTTCTGTGCCAAAAACAGAATCAACAGTCAGGCCTAGTCTCGGAGGAGGAGGTTTACTGCCAAAGCTGACCTGCATGCTCACTGGGCCCCCTGCAAATTGCTGGCGTGACTGCAGGAGCTCAATCCAGCCTCATCAGAGTCCAAGTTGGGCCACATCCATGGAACTCAAAATTGAAGGGCTCTTATCAGAGTTAGTTCTACAGGGGAAACTGGCAGGACCACTTCGATGCCTTCTGAGTCCCCTATTTTCTCCTCTTCTTTGCTGGAAGTGTGTTAGATTTCCAAACCAGGCAGAGTCTCTGGACTAGGGCAAGTGACTCCCCCCTCCGCTCTGAAAGTGACCCAGTTTCTCTTACCAGACAGGTCTGGTAACTTTCTCTTAATGGGATAGGTTTTGGGAAAGGAACTTCTTTCTTTTCTCTCAGCCTCTGACTTTGCCTTCTCTCTCTACACCACTCACTGTTGTTGACCTATATGGAGAAAGAAATGAGCATGTTGGTGTTGAAGGATTTCAAAAGCATATGGTGTGGATTAGAAAGAACATCATTAAATCAGATGGCTAAATGTGAGCTGGCTTAGGTAACAGACCATGAGGGTCACAGCCCTTTTTATTTTTGACTTTTTTTTTTAAATCTCTGTAAAGCTTTCTTACTGTTATCCAGAGTGGGGTTTCACTGAGCATTTCTTGCCATCTTTTCTGGCCTAGATTTGCCATTTTAGAAAGTTCAGTTCTACTGCTAATGGGCACGGAGGTTTTTTTGGAGTGATGAAATGTTCTGGATTAAATTGTGGTGATATTTGCACAACTTTGTGCATATATAAAAAATACTAACTGTACACTTTAGAAGGATGAATTTTATGGTATATGAATTTTATCTGTTTAAAAATTAGTCCCAGAAGGCAAAGCAGGTAAGAACGCCAACCAAATTCCCCTGGAAATTTCATGGTAGCCATTCTCCCATTCCCATCATCCTCTCCACTGGAGCACAAAAGCTTACTGCGATAAGCTTTTCCAAATTTCAAAGCCCATCTCCAGGTCAAAATATGACTGACCAGCTTCCCTCTCCCTTCAACACATTTACAGAGCTTTGGATATGTGCTATTTTACCATCTCCTTTCATTTATACAGGTACATTTATTCAGTTATGACTTCATATCTTCTTGATTCTGGGTTTGTAGCTATGTCCTGCGTTTATTTCTTGTCTCCTCAGAGAGCTCTCTAAAAATAGTAACTTTGTTCCATTATTCATCCTTTCTTCCCACAGTGTCTTGAGCAAGGTTTTGTGCATAGGGAGGTGCTTGGAACTCAGTTTTAAATCCATCCTTCCAAGTGATTGGAAATCTGGTTTAGTGCCAGATCCTTAGTTGTGGAAATGGAAATACAGCTGGTTTTGAGAGGAGGAAGGACTATAGACAGAGGTTGGCTCGAAAAGATTTAAGTAATCACAGCGCTATTCTTTCTACATGGTTTCAAAGGTCACCCTCTCTTAAGAATTTGACTGGTAGGGGGAAAATTTGCAACCCATAATTTTCTAGAGAAGATACCCACTCTTAACTAGCTCTGTAGATCACAGGAGTAGGTGATGGAGGCAAGGCATTGGGTTCAATGTGCCTTCTCAGAACAAACCAGGCACCATAGGGAGGCCAAGGCATTGGGGTTAGGCAGGCCACTGTGGCTCCTTCCAGAAAGGCAAGATACCCTTACTCCTACACACACAGATACACACAACCAGTGTCCAACTGTCCAGTGCCTTTTTTGGAAAACCTGAGTTCAGAGGCTTGCACCAAGATTATTCTGATCAACAGGGACCCACTCCTGCTTCCTCCTAGAGAACAGAGTAGTGTAAAAATAGTAGTGGGCATAACTACTATTATCATCTTTGTTTTGCAGATGAAGAGAATGGGCTCAGTGTAGCTCAATAACCTAATAACCAAGGTTATACAACTATTTATATGCCTGAGGAGTGGAATAGATCTGACTCCAAAGTCTATAGTTTGTAACTAGAACAGTTGTTTTCAGAGGGTTCAGAGGGTTCCTCAGAAGTTGCCACCAGGCAGGAGGAGCCCAGTGGTCGGGGTTTCCCATTTCCACAAATGGCTAAAATGGCCACATGTACGTCTATATTGTATATTGGAGTTACATGAGTTAAAAATAAGTTTGAAAAGAACCACATTGTACTATGCTGCCCTACTCCTAAGAATCAAGAAAGAATTATTCTACTCTCAGTCTAATGCTACCCCAGAGCCTGGCAAAAACTTATTGTCTTAAATGAGAAAAAACTGTGTAGTGGACCAATTTCCTGGCTCATTCACCTAGTTGTTTTCCTTAATCTGATTACATCTTTTGTTCCTTTTTAATTCTTCACCCTGTTCACAGGGTGTACCCACCCCATAGTCCTTGCTGTGTGTAGGGGGTGAGAAGGCAGGTTTCTGCAGGGTAGGTGCCCCTCCTCTCAACACCCCTATCCCCACCTACTCACTGATTCAGGGGCCCGGAATGTCTGTGGGGGCAGTAGACAGGTATGTCACCCTAGGGGTGTCTGATGATGATTCATCTCTCATCTCCGCCCAGTCTTCTCCTTACTGCTCTCTGGAAAATTGAACTCTTTTATTTGTCTACAGATAAAAGGAGATCCCAGACTCTGAACTCATGGAGTCTTCAATCTGTGGCTAGGTACAGTACTTAATATATCAGATTATGGTATCTGAGAAATGTATGTTGAAAGAGGAGGAAGGGTGGAAGGGAGGGACAAAGACACATTTTCTCCCCTTTCTTCCTCCAGAATAAAGTTAACCTGAAATTTCCTTGTTTGAATGTAGAGAGGACTGACTTTTAACTCAGAAGAGATTGTGAGACCACTGGTATGCTTTGGGATGGGAGAAATCTTACCCGTGTCCCAGTATTCCTTCTGTGATTCCACAGAGCAATGTGGAATCTCTGAGATTAATATACAGGAAGAGGCCACCAATCAGTGTGAAGAGAGTGGTACTTGAACAGTAAGCAACTTCTTGAGATTTTTATGTTTATTTGGGATGGCTTTGAAGGGGCCTTTCATCTCCCCCTTCCACAACTGCTTCAAGGTTTTGGATGGGGAAATTTAAAACTTTGTTATATATTCCAGTCCAGAGCATTTTTATCAATACTCATCTTTTTATCACCTTAGTTGGACTCCTAATCCCCGGCCTACCCCCTCCCAGATCCTCACCTGAACTTCTGGGGCTGTCTGAAATTGGCTCCCTGGTGGGAAATGAAGGCCATAATGGATTGTAAATGAGACTTATGACTTCCCCTGTCCTCAGTAGGCCTGATGACATTGAAATATGTGCTAAATTGGAATTCTTCCTTCTAAAAGGGACAGGAAGTTGATGTGGGCAGCCCAGACCAGGCTCCATGGATCCTGGAGCCCAGGCCAGTAAGGGCTCCATGGCCGGGGCAAGAGCAAAGAAAAGAGAAGGGACAGGAAGGGAGCTACTCAGCTTGCTAGATAATCTCCTTCCAGGAGTCTGAGGGCAGTTGGGCCTCCACACTGCTTTAAAAAAACTGGTGGGACTTGGTAATGCTGAGATGGGTCTGAAGTCAGGAGTCTTGAGAAAGGACAGAGATCTCCAAGTTTGACCTTCCTACAGACCTTAATGGGCTCAAGCTTCCTATTCTCAGCCAACTGGGGGTGAGCATTTTGCTAATTTAGAAACAGCGGAGAGCAGGCTGGCTGTGCTTCAGCTCTGTGGACTTCAGGCTGTCACCCTCACTCCTAAGACTTTGTGTGGGCTGGGAGCCTTTCCAATGAACTATGGTCTCTGAGAAGTTCCAAATGCTATCTTCCAATTGTTGGGGTCCCAATTCAGAGCCAGGACATGCATCTATACCAATGTCAGTGGTTAGTGGAGATGACCAAGAAGGTTGCTTCTAAGGTACTCAGACAAGGATCCCTTCCTCCAGAAGTTGTTCAAAATTTGCCAATCCAGTATCGTCTGGGGGAAAGAGGGGCACTGTCAGGAAGTGTCTGTGGATGTAAAGTGGCACTTTTCTGGAAGGCATTTTGGCAATATGAATCCAAGCTGGGAAACATCAGCTTTTTTTATTTCTAGGATGTTATTATAAGTTAAAAGTCAAAGACTCAAAGATTTGGGTACAAAGATGTTAATCACAGCACTATTTACAATAGCAAAAAAACAGTGATGACTTATAGGCTAACTATAGGAATCTGAATAGGTAAACAACATTTTAGCCATACCACAGAATATTATCATGTAAACAAAAAAGGCTTTTATATTTTTAATTACATCAACTATAAAAAGCAAGTTACAAAGCAATTGTATCTCTTATATGAATGCTGTAACTATCCCTCTACAGGTATAGAAAAGTATATACACAATATACATTTAAATATAAAATTTATTATAAATTATAGTTTTGTTACAAGATTATGGGTCTAATTTTCTTTTTATTTTCCAAGTTTTTTATTTTGCTATTTTTACCAGGAAATTTTTGAAAAATTAAGAAATCTGCCCTGGCTGGCATGGTTCGATGGTTTGAGCACTGGCCTATGAAGCAAAGGGTTGCTGGTTTGATTCCCGGCCGGGGCACATGCCTGGGTTGCAGGCCAGGTCCCCAGTAAGGGGCACATGAGAGGCAACCACACATTGATGTTTCTCTCCCTCTCCCTTCCCCTCTAAAAGTAAAAAATAAAATATTTTAAAAATCAATAAAAATTGAGAAATCTTAAGGACAGTTGCTATATCCCCGCCATACTGGAAGATGGGCTTTCTTCCACTCCACATATTTCACATTGCTGAACAGACCTCACCTGGAGCCCAGACATCCAATCTTGTCTGCATTGTGCCATCCAGTAGCCAACACAATCTTCATTCTGCGACCAGTGGGTAGAGGAGAAAAATACATTTACTGGAGAAAGCATCCTTGCTGTCACACAAATGCTTGAACATAATGTTTTGGACTATTCCATCCTTCTCTACTCCATGACTGCAAAGAATGAATGCCCTTGACTGCATTAAAAGAATGAATGACTGCAAAGAATAAATGAAAGAACAGTGCTTGGATATGAGCTTATACAGTTCTAAATGACACTTCTTTCCAACTGGTTTGCTTTGGTGACATCTATGATGGCGTAGACATCAAAAGCCTTGACCACAGCTATTGGTACTATTTTCAAAAACATAGCACCCATCCTTATTCCCTGACGAGTAATTTGCCCAGCAGCTGGGGCATCAGGATTCCTGGGCTCCAGGCCCCATAGATGACTCATGGCCAGCCCCAGGCTGGGCCTCCTGGCCTCAGTTTCCCTAGTTTGCTCTGTTGATACTTCCCACCTACTATATAGGGTGTTAACAGGAGTGAGGTGCTTTGAACTCTGCAGATGAAAGAGGCAGGGGAAGCGGCACCCAATTATTATCCCCTGTAACACCAGGCGTGGGAGCAGAGATTGGCTGCTTTCATACTGTTCCAGCCACAGGAGGCTCTTCATCGTGCTTCACTCTGCTCTGGCTGTCAAAACTGGAAAGCAAAGCTCAGTCAGCATTTCAACACTACTTCAGAATAGATTTTCTTTTCTTTTTTTTTAAAGGCAGGAAGAGGAGAGAAACATCAATGTTTGGTTGCCTCTCAGTGCCCCAAACTGGGAACCTGGCCCACAACCCAGATATGTGTCCTGACTGGGAATCGAACCGGCCACCCTTTGTTTTGTAGGCTGTCACTCAATCTACTGAGCCACACCAGCCAGGGCCAGAACAGATTTTGTTAAACTGCCCAAACCACCAGTGACCTATCTTCCCCGGGATTTATGATTCAGTAACACTCTAAAGGTGTTTAAATTCTTCCTTCCACATGGCTGGTGTGGCACAGTGGATTGAGCCCAGGCCTGTGAACCAAAGGGTTGTTGGTTGCAGGCACATGCCTGGGTTGCCAGCCAGGTCCCCAGTAAGGGGCATTTGAGAGGCAACCACACACTGATGTTTCCTTCTGTTTCTCCCTCCCATCCCCTCTAAAAATAAATAAAATCTTTAAAATAAATAAATAATTCCTCCCAATTGGCTCAAATCCTGTAGAATATGAACCATAACGTCACCACTAAGTATTCACAATTAAGAAGTCAACAAAGTGAGCTGGAGAGCCAGGCTTACTGAAGTTCAAATGCATCTTTTCCCTTCTTGTAAAATGGGACTTACTAACAGTCCCCATCTTGTTTGTATCCTTAGGAGTTGCTGTGGAACCACAGGAGGGCTGTGTGTGAAAACACTTTGTAAAATGGCAGCCCTTCATGTATGTTAACAGGACCAAATATCTGCAAGTAAGATTTCTGGCACAATTGCCATCTGTGCCCTTGAACCTCCAAGCTACAACTGTAAAAATAAGCCTGGGTAGCCACCTATTGGTTAAGAACACAAATTGCATCCTACCAGTTGCAAGTAGAGCAAAGGAAGCAAAAAACAGTATTTCCAACTTTAATTCATCTTAATTTTTCCCATGCCGCTCATGTCATATTATGTACTTAATATTGTTCTTTTTTTTTTTACTCTTTAAAATAGATTTTATTTACTTATTTGAGAGGGGAGAGGGAGAAAAAGATGAGAACCATAGATGTGTGAGTGAAACATTCATTAGTTGGCTATCCTTTGCATCTTGACCAGGGACTGAACCTGCAACCCAACCATGTCCCCCAACCTGGAATCCTTCGCTTTGCCAGAGGGCCCCCAATCGAGCCACACAGTGAGGGTTATTATTTATCAGTAAGTTTAAATCCTGGAGGGGTACAGCATTACACAGATTCTGTGTCCAATGGCCTTAGCAGGAAGGTTGCTTCGGAATTTAGCACGAACCATGCCACTGTTTCCATGAGCACGAGTTTCCTTTCCCCAGATTACTCTGGCTTTGTTCAGTTTGCCACCAGGAGTCACTGTGTTGTTCTTAGCTTTGTACACATAAGCACATCTCTTGCCTAGACAGAACTCAGTTTCATCTCGAGCATAAACACCTTCGATTTTAAGAAGAGCTGTGTGCTCCCTCTGGTTCCGGAGACCCCGTTTATAGCCAGCAAAAATGGCCTTGGACCACAGCCTTCCAGACATATTTGTTGTTGCAGAAGTTCGGTTCCCGGCAGTCACCCAAAGTTCAGTCTTATTATGTACTTAATATTGTTCTTTAAAAAACACACTTTATGCCCTGGCTGGTGTGGTTCAGTGGATTAAGCGCTGGCCTGAGAACCAAAAGTTCTCGGTTTCACCTCCCAGCCAGGTCCCCAGTTGGGGGCATGTGAGAGGCAACACTCTATGTTTCTCTCCCTCTCTTTCTCCCTTCCTTCCCCTCCCTCTAAAAATACATACATAAAATCTTTATTTAAAAAAAGCACTTTGTATAAATAACTTCATTTTTAAAGTAAACTTTTAATCACTACTATAAATGGAAACTAGCACTTGCCAAAGGTAGAATAAAACCACGAAATAAATACAATGAAAAGTTAAGATCTAGACAGGAAGCACTGCCTCAAGCTTAAGGATTGTTGTTAAAACTGAGGAGTAACCTAAGTACACAATTGGAGAATAAATGTCAATCCTCTAGTATGACCCTGTGCTTTGGGGGAAATACTGCCCTGTATGAAGAAACAGAACTCTTCTGAGGGAAGATGACATTCATCCGTTCTACCCTAGCTCCCTGAATGGTTGATGGAAGTCTGAAAGCCACAAAACACAGAAGAAAATAACTCTTGTATTGTGGCACGTCCCACCACAGTCCAAGTGGGGCCAGTGCTGAACTCCTGGTGGCAGTGCCCAGCCAGGGCTTGTAAGCACTGATGATATGGTGGGTGCTTTGCTTGAGCCATGCCTGGCATTTAGGCAGCCGTCCTTTGCAGGGCTGAGTGTCTCTTCATCAGTCTCCCACTCTGGCTGGGAGGACTGTTCTCAGATCTGCAGCCTGCTGAGCTGTCCACTGCTCACTGGGAGTTGCCGCCTTCCCTAGTGATTCTTTATGTGTCTTATTCTCCAGAGCCCGGCTGGTGGTTATAGCTTCATGGCTTCCTGCTCCACTGACTGGTCTGAGGGTGCCAGGTACTTCTCCTGGATGCTCAGGGTGCTGCAGGACAGTAGGTCAAGGATGACAGCATGGGCAGGATTTGACCTCTATGGATGACCGCCTTCCAACCATGTCTGGCAGAGTGCTTCCATGCTTTTCCCTTCCTCGTAATTATAGCTTCAGGTAACAGGGACCAACTGGGTCCAAGAAGCCTATCGAAGCAACCCGACTCAAATGCTCCTATATTCACCTCTTCCCACACTGCTGAGGGTCAAAGGACCAGAGAGTGGTAACCCTTCAGCTTTGCGTTATGACACATGCTCTGAGCCAGACCAATGTCATGCCCACTAGTCATGCCATTCTACTTGCAACCCCCCAGACCTGTCTCAGTCTCGGACTCCTATGCCTTTGTATACACCGTTCTCTTTGCCCTGCATTCCCTTTCCCTCTTAAGTTAACCAGGCTGACCCTTACTTTGAGATGATGCAACTCAAATGCCACTACCACACGAAGCTTTCTTCACCCACGCACGTGAAGCTTTCTTCACCCACGCACGTCTTTCTTTGTACCAATCCCTAATTACACAGAGTGAAGATTAACCCTAAGGAAATTAGGGTGCAGGGTAGAATCTAAAGTCAGCACAAATGTATATGGTTAAAAATATCCTAAAAAATCCTTTGTAAAGTACAATATTTGATTGTGTAACCACTATGATGTATACCAGAAACCAAAACAAAATAATACTGAAAGTAAACTATAACTGAAAATTTTTTTAAAATAAAATAAACCAGGGAATCAAAACCAAACTAAAATACCCTTAATATTCCTTAAATCATGTATTAAATACAGTATACATGGTTTTATGAATAGAATCCTGTATGATAAATATGACTGCATAATGTATGGTGTGCAAACCATCACAGCACTATTGAAAGTGCCCCTTCCTTTTTTTGCTGAGCACATGCAGTTGACTTTGCCAACATTAACTGCATGTGTGAGGCAGCTCCTCAGTTCCTCTTGCAGGCACTGCACACTCTACTATCATCATTCGTAACTCGTCTGTTTCCCTGTGAGCACTGTTTCTCATGTGTGAAAGGGTCTGACACAGGTCAGTAAGTGTTGGCTGGACCTACTGTCCTCCCTGTCCAAGGACTCTGGAGCCCTCCCACCCCACCTTGTCTCCAGTATCCTGTGTAGATGCCCCATGTCTGAAACCAGCTTAGAAAGCCTGGACTTCCCTTGTCCTGCCTCATGTGTCACCTCTGTGACCTGAGAGACTTCTGCACATGATCTCAGCTCCACCCCCACTGATCCAGTTCTGAAGGTCTAGCTGCCTCCCAGAGAGCTGACTGTCCCAGGGCCCCTCAAACATAGCACATCTGTCAGCTCCCATCCCTTCTACCCATGTGACAAACATTCCTCTTTCTTTCCTTGCCTCAGTGACTAGCACAACCACCCACCACTGTCTAAGCCAGAAACCAGAATCTAAATTCTGCTCTACGTCCATCTATCTTACAACCATCTAGTCACAAACGCTGGTAGTCTATCACCTTAATATTTTTCTAATCCACACCCTTCTTTCTATTCTCACCATTAACATTTCATCTCTTCTCTTCTCTTCTAGAGACTGTAAAACCTCTCCTGCCCCCAACACATTCCTTAAATGTATTTTCCACACTTGGAGGAGCTTTTAAAAAATGCACATCTGTTCATGTCACACGCTGCTTGACAACACTACACTGGCTGCTACTGTTCACCCAGGAGCTGAAGTCCACACTCTTCAGCAGGGCACTTACACACTACATTGCCAGCCCTGCACCCCGCCTCTCCCCCTCACTCAAGACACTAGGCAAACTGAACCCCTTGCTTTTCTCCCAAGTGACCAGTGCCCTTTCATTTCTGAGCCTCTGTATTTGCTGCTCCTTCTTATCAATATCCTTCCTTGTCCCAGGTACAACCAACCCTGAAGCCTTCTAAGGGACCACCCTTTGTACATGAAAGACAGTCACCAGGGAGCCCAATTGGTCCACATAAAATCAGTCATCTACAAGGGTAGATGTAGCCATTCCTGAGGCCCATGCCTCATTCCCTCTCCCTGCCCCTCAACTTGATTTTGGCTAAGAGGCTAGACAGCAAGGATACGAGGAGAAATGGAAGTCAGCTCCCATTGCAGCAGACATCATGGCCTCCAGGCTTCGCTGCTCCTGAACCCCGAAGCAGTACCCATTGGCTTTATCCACAGCCTGCAGGACCCGCTGGATACTCTCCTTGTCCTAGGCAGACACGAAAGAAACAGCTCTGTGAGTAAAACAGGTGTGTGGAATCGAGGTTATATCAAACTGCCTGCTGTCTCCAAACACCCTCCTCAGTCTTCCCTCATGAAGCCTCTGTATATGCAGCTTCCTTGGCCTGGAGTAGTTCTCCATGTTCCCAGAGGCCTGGCTATGACCCATTTTCCCTGACCCCCAATCCACCTCAATTAGAATAAGCTCCTCTATGCACAATCACAGCCCCCTGGGTTTATCCCTATTGTAGCTCTGATCCTACCATCTTACTATTAATAAATTATTAACTCATCTATTTCCCCTACTCAGCTGCGCCACCCTCAAGATCAGGGACACATTTGTCAAAGTATTCCCAGTGCCTGGCATAGTATTTAGCTAACTGTAAGCACCCAATAAATATGCATGCAACTTATTTATTTACTCGTCCACATTAAAGTAATAAGGATGATTCATACATGTCAGGAAGGAAAGATCAAAGTAATGTATTACAGTTCCTTACCACAATGCGTAGCATAGAAAGCCTTCAATAAGTGGTAGCTGTGCCCTGGCTGGATAGCTCAGTTGGTTAGAACATCGTCCCAATACACCCAAGTTGTGGGTTCAACCCCCAGTCAGATCACATACAAGGATCGACTAATAAATGCATAAATAAGTGAAACAACAAATCGATGTTTCTCTCTAAAAATCAATTTTAAAAAAGTGGTAGTTGTTTATGATTAATATTATATAATTCAACTCATTTTAGAGACGAATGTGGCACTAAAAAGGGAAGAGACAAGTTCACTCAAGTCTCCCAGGCTATCTCTGCAGGGTGAAGGTGAGAGGCACAGTGTTGGGTATGATTTTGCAAAGTTAACAAGCAGTTGCTCATCTTAAAGGAGCCCAAGAGACTTGTTCCTGGCTTTGGTCATATCCCTTGCTGGTGATTTTCTGATCTCATTTATTCTCATACTGAGGAGGGAACATGTGTGGAGAGGACCCAGCAACATAGAATAGATAGGGCCAAAGTTTGGCCCATCCCCTTTACTGGAATCCTGCTCACCAGAGCCCCCTGGTCCCCAAACCAAGGGCAGTGGATGATATTTGGACTCAGGACAAAGAGCATTGTTTGAGCCCTCAAAGCCTCCTGTATACTTGGCTTGATAAGGTCCCAGGCGCTGCCAGAGCCTATAACTAAGGGAAGAGGCTTCTGAGTCCCTGATACCTGGATATTGAGAGGAATGAAGGAGACCAGGCTGTAGTCTTCAATGAGCTGCACCAGTTTCTCATTGAGCTGACGGTAGTGGCGGAAGAAAGGGTCAGAAGCCAGGTGATCGAGCAAGTAGGAGAGGTCCAGGACCTCTGTGTAGTAGTCCAGGTTGAAGGCTAAGGAGAGAAACCAATGTTCAGAAGTAGCTGGCATCAGGCTAAAGTCCCAAGGACAGGGACCGTATTTTTTCTTTCTTTCTCTGCCTTTACTCCTTTCCTCATTTATTCTTTCAACAATGACACTAAAATAATTGCTAAGAAGAAAATAGATAATTTCACCTCCTGGCTCTGTCAATTACTAGCTATATGGATAGGTACTCACCTCATAGGGTTACTGTGAGGACTACCAGTAAATGCTATAAACCCCAGTGCCTGGTACAAAGAAGCATTTGATCAATGGTAGTAAATAATGACATCCAACATGTACCAAGTACAGTGCTTGGTGCCTCCCTCACGAAGCTCAGTCAGGTACCCCCAGGACACAGCACCCACTGTAAGGACTTTAGCAGGGTGGCATCTGGGTAAATCTCTTTCCCTTTCTGGGCCATTTCTTTTTAATGTAAAATGAGATCAGACTAGATGACTCAGGGCTTCCTGACTCTCAGTTCTGTGCCTACAAACTTCCCACTAAGAGGAGGAAAGTGGGCTTGCATTGTCCATTGCAGCCTGGAAAATCAGGCAGTTGCACTGCTCAGCAGGTCTGTCCCAAAGTGACCTGAGGGACTAAGCTCTACGAGATCAGAGATTCATCAACTCACTCCCTGAGCTCTGTCTCCGACATTCTAAATCAGTTCCAATTGGAAACTGACACCCCTCCCTGGCTGGTGTGGCTCCATGGATTAAGCGCCAGCCTGCGAACCTAAAGGCTGCTGGTTCAGTTGCCAGTTAGGGCACATGCCTGGGTTGCATGGTCCCCCACTGAGGGCATGCAAGAGGCAACCTTCTCTCACATACTGATGTTTCTCTCCCTCTCTTTCTCCCTTCCTTCCCCTCTCTCTAAAAAAGTAAACAAATTTAAAAATTGGAAAGAAACTAACGCCCCTGTGTTTTCAAGGAAGAATCTCCTGGGCATTCCAACAAACTTCGTGGGTCGCTTGACAGGTACGCTTCTCAATGAGAATTAACAAAGTGGAGTCGGGTACACCTGGGTTTAGATTTCACCTCAGCTAATGCACTAGCTGTGTGATTCGTGTAAGGTCTCTGGGCCTCAGATGATTTGCTTATCAGCCTCTTGTGAGGATGACTGTCAAGAATCAAAGCTAGGAAGGCTAAAGACTACCACATACCCATCTGGACTCGAGGCTATGAAGGGAGAGAAAGGCTCGGGAGGACTACAGATCTGGGCATAGGTAGGATGGGGCTCCTGGGCTTGCCGAGAGATGGACCAGGACTCTGACTGACACTGACTGACCAGAGGTGCTGACATCCCTCCATGTCCTGACTGGCATCCAGCAGGCCTTTCCTGGATAAGGGCCCTACACATCACTCTCCCAACAACCCTCCCTTCCTGCTCATTGCTGGTTACTTTAGCTGTTTTTTTTTCTTTGTGGCTAGAGATGCTATTTAGGAGAACTGATGCCCCAGCTCAGCAGAACACTAATTTTGTGGGAAAAAAATTCTGGCCATAGGGTCCTTATGAAACTGCACTGCCTCATACCAGCCTGCTTTTCCCTCAATTTTCTCTACCTTGATAAATGTCACCCTTACCTATCTACTGGCTTGGTCAGAAACCTTGAACGTCACCCTTAATTCCTCTAATCCACAAACAAATCCTATTTCTTGAGCAAGTTTTCAATCTATTTCTCTCCATTCCCATCACCACTGCTTGGGTTGCTGTGAAAATCTCCTAAAGCAGCTGTTTTCATTCTTGCCCCTTTCAGTTCATTCTCCACAAAGCAGCCAGAACGACCTTTTCAGTTCATGTTATTCCCCTGCTTAATATTCATGAATTACTTTCCTGTGTTTAAATGGTATAGGTTTTGCCCTGGCTGGTGTGGCTCAGTGGATTGAGAGCCAGCCTGCAAACCAAAAGATCGCTTGTTTGGTTCCCAGTCAGGGTACATGCTTAGGTTGCAGGCTAGGTCCCCAGTTGGGAACCTGTGAGAGGAAACTGATCAATGTATTTACCAAACATTGATATTTCTGTTTCTCTTTCTCCCACTCTCCCTCTAAAAGTAAACATAAATACTTTAAAAAATAGTACAGGTTTTTAGCCCTTGCTGACCTCTCTGACCTGATTGCCTACCACCCTTTCCCTGACCACTATTTTGGCTATCCTGTCTCACCCACTTTCCTTGAACACAAAAAACACTTTCCTGCCTAAAGGCCTTTACTCCTACTGGTCCCTGCCTACAACAGTTCTCCCTTGACAGACTCCTCACCATTCCGATCTCAGGTCAGATGGCACTGCTCATTCCCCACCACTCACTGTCCTATCATTCAATTTTAATTCCTTCAGAACACATATTGCCCTCTGTAGCCCCCTGCCCCCAAAACCCAGAACGGCATCTGGCACAAAATAAATGGGCAGAGGTCATGATCTGTCTGTGGCTATGATCACCAGGCCATTCATAGTCCCTGGAGGTGAGTCCCATAGTCCTTCAGCTGAGATCTCTGCTTCACTGTGGCCTAGCCACTGCCCTCTATACCTTGCCTGACCGAAACAGGAGCACTTACCCAGCTTCCCATAGTGCTCAATGAGGTCCATCTTGGAGAGAAGGTTGACGTGGGGCAGCTCTACGTGCAGCATGGTAGCCAGGGAGGTACACAGTACTGAAATAAACTTGGCCGGGTCTGTGCAGTAGTGAGAATCCACCAGGTGGACAGCAGTCAGCTGGGAGGGGAGGAACAGACAGGGTGAGAGTGGTCTGCAGAAGCAGAGAAAATCAGGGCCTATGTCTCCTCCTCAGTCAGACTGGAGGTGCGTGAGGACAGAGTGCAAGCCCTCTCCATTAGTTTCCTCCTTCTATTTTGTTCTAATAGCCACACTCCCAGGAGATATGGGCATTTTTCTTACAAGATGCCTTGCACTGAGCAAGGCATCAGTGAGCAAACAGTTTGATTTTCACTACATCTGACTCCATTCTTTCACTTAATCTTGCCCCCAACTCACAATAATAATCGCCATGTCGTTTTCCACTTAACTTCTTCCATACTTCCAATAACCCCAAGTTGGGCACGAGCACATCCATTTTACAGATGAGAAAACTAAGATTCAGATAGAGAAACTGACTTACCCAGGACCACATAGTGAGTCAATGGCAGAGCCAGAATTCTAAATCACACCTGTTATACTCCAAAGCAACTCCGCCCCTACCTCGCTGTGTGACATGGGGGTGTGGCACGTCCTCCCTGCCTTAGTTCCTCCATCTGCAAAATGGGCCTGCCCGACCCAAGACGCACCCTGAGGTCCCAATGGGCCATCTGGGAGAAGATGCTCCGCAGGGAGCCATGGTGCGTGCAGAGCTCCACTTGGCCTGGGCAGTCAAAGAGGAAGTAGTGGCCGCGGAGGGGGTCAAGCTTGGCACGCAGCCAGTCCAGGTTGGCCTCCAAGTACTCCATGCAGTACAGCAGACCGCCGTTAGGCCCCAGCCGCAGGGCGTCCATCACGTCGCTCAAGCCTACCAGCTCGCTCACGTCCACCGCGCACTCATACGGCAGCCCGTCGTTGGCCGGGTCCAGGTTCACTACCGCCACGCGCCTACCCAGCGCGCGCAGAAACTCGCTCATGCCAAGGCAGTACGTGGTCTTTCCGGAACCAGGTGGGCCGATCACCGCCTGCCCAAAGGCCGTGGTCAAAGCAGCCCCCGCCATGAGTCGCACTCGATCCGGTGAGCAGCAAGTAAGCGCGGCGGAGAAACAGGGAGGGCGATCGCCCCGGAGACAAAAGGCAAGGCGACGGGACCTATGGTGGAGGAGGAAACGACGCCCTAGATTTCCCTAAGGAGGAACAGCGGTGAACCGAGCAACGCAAAATTAAAGGCTCGGTAAGGGCGGCACCAGCACCAACTTCCGGGTGACATCGGAAACGGCGGGCACCGGGGAGGAAGTCCCGCCCTGACGGTGACGACATCGCTTGGCGCCACGAGTCTGGCTGCGCGCAGCAATTCGTCCTCGGTGGAGAAATGGGTCACGTGTGAGGCACCCTTGGGCAGTTGGGGTCCGGGCTAGGAACATTTCCCGATATTTCCCCAACCTTCCTCCAGGCCCAAATTAGAAGGGAATGAGAATTCCGGTCATACTTTTTTATTCCCCTTTCGGTCGCAGATGCGGGCCACCTGCCGCGGATTCTCCCCCTAATCGGTCGTTGCCAGTTAAGAGGTAGAAGCAGTGGAGGGCCCGCCCCAATACCGTCTTGCCTGAGCACCACAAACTTTATCTTCCAGGTTCCTTTAACACTCTTTCTGGCCTTCACGGTGACCACACCCCAAGGAACGTTGTGATGATAAATAACCTCAGTAAATCCGGCTTTTCAATGTACTGGGGGAGGCAACAGCCCCAAGCCCAAACAGGGACCAGGATTAGACCACGGGAGGTCATTAAGCCCTGGTATCAAAGGGGAGGGTATGGGGCTTTCTGTAAAAATGCCCCTGAGGTAGAGAGCCAGAAGGCAAATTCGTAACAAAGCACCCTGAAGAAGCCTCGAAGATTGCTGCTCCCCAGGCTTCTTGCTTTCATGGGAGATTTCTTCATGCTTCCCAGCCAGATAAGGCTGAGGCAGAGGGCTACCATTGTGCACTTATGATTAATCCTGAGTAAGGAAGCCCCTGAACCTGTCACTCAGGCTCTGAGACGCTGTCCAAGGCACAGCTGGGGCTCCTCACAAAGGTCATGTCTGTCAGAAACTTCATGCTGGTGGGTGGCTGGCGGCGGAGCAGCAACTCCCCTTGGTCCTGGGGTAGAGGCTCATCATAGATGGTGGAGATGAGCCCCAAACCAGTTCCACGGGGTCTCTTCAGTTGCCCAAATGGCTGTAGCTTCTCTCCGTGGTACCTGGATTAAAAAGGACCCAGCTGTCTCTGAAACCCCAGTTAAATGGGTTGGGGAGGACAGGGAAGTAACTACTACATATCCGGTTTGTTCCAAAGACCAGAGCCTTTAAGTCTGGATCTTTGCTCTCCGGCCCCCTTATCCATTCACCGATAGTGCCAGTAACCAGGGGCCTCACTGCTTTCATTTTAAGTATGCAAAGTTTAAAACAACTGTCAACCGCTCTGTGACTTCCTAATGGCAATCATCAAGCACAAATTCCTCAGACTAAGGGAATGACTCCCCTCCCCCAGGACATCCAGACCTGTTTTTTTCTATCTAACTCTATTCTGAAGTTCACCCCCTTGGAGTCTCCAACACCCACCCCAAAACCAGAGGGAAGGGGGAAGCACGGTATAGCTGAAAGGCTAGCTTGGGACCCCAAAGAAGTTCCTCAACCATACTCACCCCAATCCACGCTTGCATCTGGGGTGCTGGCCATCACTGTCCAGGGCCTCAGGCACTCCTGAGCACCGGCTGCCCAGGCCCTGGCCCTCAGCCCAGCCCTGCCGCTCCATCACCTTCCGCCCAATGCCCTGAAGAGGGAAGGGAGAAAACTCAAGAGATGGGGCTCTCGTGGAGGACAGGGGATGGAAGATGGAAAGAATAGGGGCAGAGAAGGCGAGAGGTCAATGGATTGGGCAGGCATAGTACTCACCTTGGTGTGGCGCTCAAAGGTGCCCACCTGGTGTTCCATCACAGAACAGTCCTCCTGGCCCGCACGGAGTCTTTGTTCCAAACGCATTTGAACAGAGTCCCGGGCATCCTTGTCTCCACCATCTGAGGAAGCAGAGCCCAGTTTGCAGAAGCATCTCTCCCAGCAGGCGGGAAAAATCAGGTTTCTAGGACTTCCTCACAAAATTTACATACTCATCTTTATGGTGTTTTATTACTTTATTATTTTTTCTCATTAGACTGGGAACTCACCAAGAGTAGGAACCACGGTTTTCCCATCTTAACAGATGAGGAAATTATGGTGCAGAAAAATCATTTGAACAACAAATGAAAGATAGAATTAGAACCCAGGTCTTCCCCTTCTCTCCTCATCCAGGTCATTCTTGACTCCAGAATCTAAATTCTTAACCAGAGTGTAAGCTACTGATCCCCACTCTACCAGGGTCTGCCCACCAGAATTGAGATTCCTGAGGGCTGTCCTTTCATGTCCTTGCTCCATAAAGGAAAAAGGCTCTGCCAACAGCCAGCACTCAGTGCACTCAACTAGAGATGTCTAAAGAGAGGAACACTCAGTGAGCTACCCCAAGGGAACTGGTGTCCTATCTCAGCTTCTGCTAAGCAGGTCTGGTAAACTTCACTGCAAGACCAGGGCACCAGTTCCCCCTCCCAGTACCACAACCCCTGGCCCAGGACCAGTACCTCTGTCGTAGTACACACTCATGTCCACATCCCAGTCATCGGCTGTCTGTTCATCAAAGTCTGCAGGTATAAAAGCATTAAGCAGCGTGAGCTAAGGACTCTCAGTTCTGTTAAGGGTTAAATCTAGACTTAGACATGTGTTCTAGAACTTGAGGCTTTTGATAATAGTTTTAAATTTCTCCTCTGGGAGTGTCATTCAGAATTTGCTGGAGGGTATTTTCTTTCCACCCAACTAATTCCCCCCCACCCCTGAATAGGATAACTGGGCCTTCATACACAGTCAAGGTAAGCCACTTTCCTAGCGCTTTATTTGGCTCACTACCAGGGAATGCAGCAGGAATCGCTCCCAACCTTGACTGGTGCCAGTATTACCTCCTTCTTCCTCCTGCCAGAACTGGGCATCAGTGTAGAACACCAGACCAGAGCCGCCCTTCTCCCATTTGAGCTCAATCTCCTCCTCAAAGAGCCGCTCAGCGGTACGCTCTTGCCCGGTAACATCTTCATGCAGCGCTTCATGCCGCTCCCACTCCTCACCCCGGTCATCATCCTGGAAGAAGGGGAGAGGTGACCTGCCTGTGTAGCTTCCTGACCTTAGGCCCATAAGGAGGGCAGCTCAGGGGACAGGCCCATGAAATGCACCCTCAGCACTATTCCTCCAAATTCTTCCAAGATGCAACACATATTAGGCTCTTGAGGCCTTGACCACCCCCTCTCTCCACCCCATTTCTCAACATATTTGTCTTTTTCCCCTGACAAGCCTACTTTACTCTTATTTCTGGGGGGGGGGCATATTTTCCCCCCTACCCGAAACATCTGCTCTTCTCTTTCACCACCATGTCTTCACTTGGTTAAATCCTCTTCCTCCCTCAAGGTCTATAGTCTAGATGGAGCCCATCCACACTGAGGCCCACAGCACTCTCACTGGTCTTGGAACTGCTGTTTTAATCAGCACCACTGTTTAGGCCTTTGTATATGGTATCACAAAGAAAGAAGGGACAAGATACCTATTTTCTACTGTGTCAGGCCCTTCACATATCTTAGCTCCTTTAATCACCCCAACAACCCTATGAGGTGAGTACCATTACCCCATTCTACAGGCGAGGAAACTTGGTATCAGAGGAATAAAGTGGTGTGCACAAGGTAGTATGTCTATACATCGGCAGAGCCAGCATTCAAACCTGGCTCGCCACACTATACAGCCTTCCCAATGTTCTCTCTTTCAAGGAGATTTCAAGCCCTTCAATGGCAGGAAATGGTCTTAGAATATCTTTGGAATGCTGTGCTAGGCCCTGTGTTTATACTGCTTGACTGGACTTGTGGAATGGTAAGATGAATCATGGTTTGAAATCTTGGGGTCTGGGTTAAACTCAAAGAGGCCTCAGGGATCACTGCTGCAGAACAGGTGCCAGAGAAGTCTGTATAGCACTACACAAGGGTGTGGTCCAGATGTGTTAGCAACTCTGTGCTTGAAGCTTTGAATGCATAGATGGATTACTTTTTACCCAGTGTGTGCAGGAAAAAAAAAAGTTTCCCAATCACAGGGGGTGTAAGGGATGGGTGGAGGTGACAGAGGATATAGAGGGGAATAAATAGTAATGGGAAAAATACAGTAAAATAAAAAAATAGAAAACATAAAATGGAAAAAAGAAGTTTCCCAACAAATCACACTTCCCCTGACTTTATGCATGCATAACCAAGTTTGGAGAAAGAGGTAGAAGAAAAGTGTATTTCATTGATAAAACTGAAGTGGAGGCTAGTGTTCAATCCACAGACTCAAGGTCAGAAAACAGAGGTGACTTCTCAGCCACATAATGAAAGCACACAGAGATCAGACAAGCAGCAAAGGGGAGTGGGTGCATGTGCCAGCTCTACCTCTCCTTCCTTAGATGATCTTATCTCTTGGTAGGTTTTCATCTATGAAAAGGACTCTCCTTACATTCCTGCTAAGGAATGAAAAGATGGCCCCTTTGAGAATCTTCTGATAAAAGTTCTGGCCCCTCTTCCCCCAAAATTGCATAGTTACACATGCAATTTATATTTAATGCCAGGGAGTTCTAATTCTCTGGAATCTTCCCGAGGACTCCAGGTTCAGAAGTCTTGTAATATACAACTGAAAAGAGGTAGTCTTTTTTTTTTTTAACTGACTGATTGATTGAAAGATAGAGAAACTGATTTGTTGTTCTACTTATTTATGCATTCACTGGTTGTTTCTTGTATGTGCCCTCACAGGAGATGGGACCTGCAACCTTAGCACACTGGGCAACTCTCCAACCAACTAGGCTAACCTAGCCAGGGTGAAGGGTGGTATTCTTAAGGTCCTGGCCTCTCTAAGCTGCCTGCAATGACAGGATGGCTGACTGTACTCACATCATCTGAGTGTGACTCTTCTTCCTCCTCTTTTTCTCCTTCTTCCTCTGGCTCTCCACAGAGGCTGGCTGATATGTCTGTCAGGCAGGTCCCCTGGGGTATTTCCTCACCCTCAGCTGTGTACACATGCTCTTCCTGCTCCACAGTCTCTGAGTCCTCATACTTGAAAGGCACGTTGCCATAGCGCCTGGAGGAGCCTGTCTTGGGGAACTGGAGCTGCAGCTGGGTGATGATCCGAGGGGGCAGGCGGCAGGCCCGGATCAACTCCAAAAAGACATGCAGGGGCGTCCCCACATTTCCATTGGGCATCAGCACTGGTGGGTTCAGCTCTGGCAATTGCTTCAGGTCACCAAGAGTAAAGGCTTCTTCTCTCTTAGCCTTCCGACTCTGCAGTTCCTTCCGGGTCTTGAAGGGAAAGGAGCCCAAACCTTGAGAACCAGTGAGAAGAAATGGCTCTTGAAACCTAGAAAGCCTCCAACAACACTTGAGCCAGAAATTGGTCAAGGTTTAAAAATCCTTTAGTCTAATGTTGTTCCTCTCTTTCAAACTTTCCCAGAATCCCTTCCTCCATTCTCTGACCAGAACCAACCAGTAATTTCATGCGATTTCTCATTACTTCAGTTGAGCACACAAGTTTCTTCCAGATTTGGTTCTTGTTGACCTTTTGGTTCTGCCACTAACCCCAACCCTTGCACACCCTCATATCATGCTCCAGCCACATCGAACAATTTATCATGTCTTGAACTTTCATGGGCTTTCACGTCCCTATTGGTTTCTCCTCCTCTATCTTCTCACAGCACTTAGTGATAAACAGCATATGCTCTGGAGCAAAACGCCTGGGTCTGTATTGTGACTCTGCCTCTGTAACCTTGGGCAAGTAACATAATTTCTGCATCTCTCAGTTTCCTTACCTATAAAATGGGTAACAATAAGTCCTATCTTACAGGATTGATATGAGGAGTCAATAAAAAAATGAAAGGCTTAGAAGAGTGCCTAGTAAGTACACAGGAAGTGCTTAGTAAATGTTAACCATGAGAATGGCTTCTCTGTGACAATTACCTTTTTATACACTTGTCTTCCTCTCTGGACTTTGTGCACAGAATGTGTCCAGCTGGTCTTTACCTACCAGCTGGAGTTACACTGGGTCTAGCAATATAAGCTGGGTTTGTTGAATGAATGAATGAGTGACAGGGCTCTACACTGTTTCTTGTTCCTCATCAAAGTGATTTCCCATGAAAATGGGAGCTGTACTGAGAAAACAAAAAGTCTCTTCATTTGCATCTTGCTTAAAGAGTGCTGGGTGGGGAGCAAGGAAGAAAGCAGGCAATAAAAGGATTAGAAACCTGATTTCCTTCTTATCCTTCTGTGTCAGTACAAAAAAATAAACCCCTTCAAATAGAAAAAAAAGAACTTGAAGGGGACATATTAAATGGAAAATGTTAGATCATCCGCATAGGCCCCTTCCTGTTTTGTTTTTTTTTTCTGAGTAAACTAATGTGCAATTTGAGCCTGAAGCTCTGTCCAGAAATGACCTAAACTCCTATAGAGACGTAAACAGAGAACTGACTTATCCTCATCACCTGTCAGGAAAGGGGCCTGCGTCCCAGGTCCAGTTTGCTATCTTTCCCAACCTTACCTGATGTCTCCGAAGGTAACCGAAGTCTGCGGATGAAACAACGACCAGGCAATGAAGTCCCCTGGGAATCCAGCCACCTGCGGCCCGAATACATGCGAAGCAGGCTCTGGGCTTGAGCCGCCCCCCGTACCGAGATAACGCAGCAGCAGGTACGGGGCTGGGCGGGAGCAGAGACCCGAGTGGAGAAATCTTGGGCATCGGTGACTAAAGTGTGGGCAAGACTCTGGCCCATAGGAGTTAGGCCAGAGTCGGGAGTAGCCTGGGGAGCTGCCCGCTCAGGACGATGCCGATAATGGAAACAAAGGAAACCACAGCCGCTCTGTTCCCGGAACTGGCTAAAGTAACTCCGTAGCTGGGCCGAGCGCAACTCCGGAGGTATGCCACTCACAATTAAGTAAATTACCGCTTCTTCCTCCCCATCTCTGGGCACCGCCATCTTGGATTATCACATGACCGGCTGAAACCAGTTCTCTCGGGAACACCGCAAGCGACGCAGAGAGTCTGCGTCACAGCGCCGTGTAATCCGTGATTGGTCAGCCGGGAGCTGTAGAATTGGACCTGTAATTGGGGAGGTTTCTGGGGGTCATCGTCCTACCTAGAGAAGCCAGCGAAGATGGAGAAACTCACCTGAGCTCTGGCGTGGTGGCTCACTTGGTTGAGCTTGGTCCCGTATACTAAAATTTTTCCGGACGACTTTCAGTCAGGGCACATTCCCAGGTTGCGAGTTCATCCTGGGATGTGAAATAGAGGCAACCCGTTGGTTTTTCTTCGATGTTTTTCTCTGAAATCAGTGAACGTACCCTTGGTACGTACCCTTGGGTGAGGACTTTTTTTTTTTTTTTTTTTTAAGAAAACTCACCAGAGAAGTGGGATTACAGAACTCTTTCATAAACTCTTATGAGTTTATGAAGCCTGCAAGAGGTGTAGTTTTCAAGACTTTTAGTTGTTGGGGAATCTCCCCAATCTAATTTCAATTCTTCAGAGACTTTTCAGTCGTTCGCCCATTTATTCTTCCAAACCACTGGTGGACTTCACAAATCACTAAAAAAAGATAATCCAGTTGAAAAGTGGGCCGAAGTCACTTGACAGAAAAGAAACACTTCTAATGAATTCTTAAAGATGTTCAATCTCTTTATAATCAAGGAAAGGTAAGAAGATCCATTTCACATCTACCAGATTGGCAAAAAAAAAAAAAAAAATTAAATCCTTAAATGTTGGTGACAAAGTGGAGCAAGTGGAGAAAACATACCGTGTTGGTGGAAGTGTGAACTAGTATAACTACTTTGGAAAACAATTTGCCCAGTAAAAACGAAGCTGCATATGTGTTTTGACCCAGCATTTCCACTTATAGGTCTGTATTTTAAAGAATTTTTTTGCTTGTTTATCAGGAGGTGTATTGACATAATTGCACTTTACCAACCCTGTGATCCTGGAAAACGGAAGGTTAAGAAACCCCTCAACCTGTGTTCTGGAACACAGGTTGCTGCAAAGAAACACCCTTCCTTCTATGACAGATAAAACGTATGGGCGCCCTCTTGTTTACCTGTGATAACGCTCAGGCTCCAAATTCCAATTCTTGGCCTCATAAACGCTCAAATGAACTGCTTGTTTCTACTAATCCATCACAACAAAAAGTTTATTAACCATGCTTTGGCTGGTGTGGCTCAGTGGATTGCTTGCCGGCCCTCAAATCAAAGGGTGGCAGGTTTGATTTCCCAGTTTAGTGCACATGCCTGTGTTGTGTGCCAAGTCCCCAATAGGGGGCGCGCGAGAAGCAACCACACATTGATGTTTCTCTCCCTCCCTTCCTCCCTCTAAAATAAAAAAAAATCTCAAACCAAACTTTAGTAACCTTCTCTCCTTCCCCCAGGTCCCTGAAGTTTGCACCCTGCCCCACACACACACCCGCCTCAGCCAGCACACAAACCCTTCTTAACAGCCCCTCCAGAGAACAGACTGGTGTCAGGGTAAAACCTCTGATCAGGCCAAGGCCATTCCACATACTCTCTACCAGTTCTTTCCAGCCAGTTTACTCTTCCCTAAGAAAGAATAACTTTTGCCTAAGGTTAAAACACATGCAGATTTTATGATCAGAGTGTTGTCCCATTACAAAAGCTTCCCGCTTCCTATTGCAATAGTTCCTTTCCTGCACTGCAATAATCATTTCAAATAAAGCCTCTCCTTACCAAGCCCAAATTTGTTTTTATTTGACAGTATATATGAACATTCATAGATGCATTTTCTTGTAAGAGAAATAAATTGGCATTTAGTACCAATAATTTCAGATACATAATATTGAGTGAAAATAAGCAAGTAGGAAAACACAGCTATTTTATTTATATAAAGTTCAAAAATACAAACTAAAAATGTTTTTAGGGGTACATAAATAAGTATGCTTTAAAACCATAAAGAAAAGTAAAGAAATGATTAACCTGAAATTCAGGGTACTCATTACTTTTGGGAACTTCAAACTTGATGATAATAATGACCTATGGGGCAATGATGAATGTTCATTGTACTAGTTTTTTTTTTAAGATTTTATTTATTTATTTTTAGAGGGCGGGGAAGGGAAGAAGAGGGAAACGTCAATGTGTGGTTGCCTCTTGTGCATCCCCCCACCAGGGACCTGGCCTGCAACCGAGGCATGTGCCCTAGACTGGGAATTCAACGAGTGACCCTTTGGTTCACAGGCTGACATTCAATCCACTGAGCCACACCATCCAGGGCCATTGTACTGTTATTCTTTACATGTATTTTATAAATATCACTTTGTTTTATTCAATTTTAATAGAAACATCTTAAATATGAAAATAAATCACTTCAAAAACATAAAGCAATGGTTACTTTGTGGTGATCACAAATTTATACCTATTTGAGAAATAAAAAAATAAAAATTTTAATGAGCATCTGGATAATTGTGAACAGAGACAATGTTATATCTGGATTCTAAAATTAACTGATGGAAGTGTAGATTGGTAGAACCATTTTGGAAAACTGGCAAGATCTACTAAAGTTGAGCACACTTTCTATAACTTGGAATTTCAGTTCTTGTTATATAGCAACAGATCTGCAAACATCTGTGCACCAAAAGATATGTACAAGAATAACCCTAGTAATATTATTTGATGAACCAAATGTTTATCAGCAGTATATGAGTAAATGAATTACAGTATATACTGTACAATGGAAATGAATCAATTACTGCTGCACAGCAAGAGGATGACTCTGAAAATATCAAGTGAAAGAAGACACATACAAAAGAGTACATACTATATGATTCCATTTATATAAAGTTTAAGACAAGCGATCTCATGAAATCAGGGAAAGTGACACCCTTTTGGAAGGATGGTGAGGGTTGATGGGGAGGGTTTCTGGGATGTTGCTAATGCTCTTTTATTTCTTGAGCTGGGTGGTAGTTATAGGAATATATTCATTTCGTGATAATTCATCAATCTATACCTGTATGATTTGTATACTTTTCTGTATGTTATACAACAAGGTTCAGTTAAAACTATATTTTTGTAAATATAAAAATTGAACAATAAATGCTTTACAGCAAACAATGTGGACCAAAGTAAAGCTGGCACGCTTTAGAAAATCTGTTAGATGACCCAAGAAGTTATGCAGTTATGATTGTGTGCAATTGCCATTTGTGGAACTAAATTTCCAGGGCCTCGCATGATGCTAGGTATGTAGTAGACTCTCAGTAAATCATTATCGGTGGAATGAATATTACTGGCACTAATATGGGAATATGCCACTAGGTGTTGGTTGGGGACTGCCTCCAGAAAACTTGGGGCCACTTCCTTGGGGGAACACACAGGTCAGATTTGTCATCAGAAACTTAAACCTGGGCCCTAGCTGGTGTGGCTCAGTGGACTGAGTACCAGCCTGTGAACCAAAAGATCACCAGCTCTATTCCCAGTCAGGCCACATGACTGGGTTGCAGGCCAGGTCCCCAGTTGGGGGTGTTCGAGAGGCAACAGATCTGATGTACCTCTCATACATTGATGTTTCTCTTCCTCTTTCTCCTTTCCTCACCCTCTCTCTAAAATAAATAAATAAATAAAGATCTTTTAAAAAACTTAAACCTGAAGGTAACCAAGACCACATTTTCACTCTCATTCTGCCTTATAGCAAAATTTATTTTCCAGTAGATTGTCCCTAATGTGTAAAGATGCCTGATAGCATAGTGTTTAAGAGCATAAGCTCTAAATCCAGAGCACCTGAGTTCAAATCCTGACTCTACCACTTATTAACTGTGCAACCTTGAGCAAGTTACTTAACCTCTCTGTGCCTTTGTTTCCTCATTTATAAAATGGAGATAATGATAGTACTTCCAGCAAAGAGTTGTTGTGAGTATTAAATAACATAATCCATGTAATGTGTTTAGGTCACAGCTTTCAATAAATGTTTGGTAGTTTTCAATAAGTTTAGTAGCTGCTCCATTTATTGGAGTGCAGCTTCCAATAAATGTTTAGTAGCTCTTCCAGGAATGGGTGATCCCCTTTGTTAGTGTTGATTCCTCTGAGAGCTTAGTCTTGTCACCTCCACCAGTTTTACAAAGATTGCCTTCCCTGCTGCCTTGTTCTGTGACATGGTCTCTGTCCACCATCTCTTGCCACAGTGCTCTCTGACATGTCTCTGCCTTTGCACCTATCATCCCTTCTGTCCGTAATATCCATCCCTTGGTTTGTCTGGCAAGCCCCTATTCATTCTCTTTAGCTCAAAGCAGCCACCACTTGACTGAAGCATTTTTCCCACCTCAGGGCAGATTTAATTACTTCCTCTTCTGAGCTCCTGCTGCCTCTTGTATTCCCTCTATCACCTTTCAGATCACTCTGTGTGTTACAGTTACTACTTATGTGTCTCTCTTTGCCATACAGGATGTTCAGTGAAATCAGAGACTGTATCTTATTTATTCTGTTTCACTTGGTAGCTAGCACAGGGGTCTGGTACAAGTGGATGTCAAGAGAGATGTTGAAAGATGGAGTGAATGGGTGGATGGCTAGTGGGTGTTGGCTTTTTGGAGGCATGACTGGTTCTAGAAATTGTGACTGCCCCAAGGCCAGGGTGTGTCAGTGCAGGGCACAGCTCCCTTCTGTGGCTGACTGCTTAATAAGCAGTCAGTGATTTGGCTAATAAAGGTAATGATAATAAAAATAATAAAATAGTACCCAAGACTGACCCTGATTCCCAGTGAGTCATCCCTGGCTGGGCCTCAGAGCAGAGATCATGGTAGATGGTCAGTGAACCGTTGCTGAGCTGGCTGCAGATAACTGGACCCTGCCATGATTCACTCTAGCCTGTGCTGGTGGCAAGAGCCTGGTCTCCAGAGTCCCACAGGCCTGTGTTCAAATCCAGCACAGTGATCTACCCAGACCTTGAGTAAGTTTCAAACTCTGTCTGAGCCTGTTTCCTTCTCTACCTTCCCTGGTTGAAGAGACACAGGTGCCATTCCTCAGAGGATGCTGATAATGGAGAAAGAGTCCCCCACCTTCGGAAAGCCTGCAGTCTCACAGAGAAAACATTACTGTATTTTCCTTATTACATTATACTGCAATTCTCTCTTTAGTTTTGCTGTTTCGTCTTTGTGTTTCTTGCAGATGGCTGGGGTAGGGCGTAAGAAGTGACTTAAGAGACAGCTATGAAACAAACAGAAGTGTAGCTCCTAGACCATATGGCGGGTGGGGGGAGTAGGAAAAACATTTGAAAAGGGGCAAGCTATTCAGATGATGGAAAAATAAGTTGAGGGGGAAAAGCCTGTGGAGAGGGGCAGTGGAGAGGCATGCCTTGTAATTAGTGGTTGTGCAGGGTTGGAGGAGGGGAAGGGTAAAAGGCAGGAAGACTCAGCCTGAGGGTTTAAAGAGGTGCAACAGTAAACTCAAGGGATCAGTTAGTAAAGGGACATAAAAGATAGAATGACCTGAGATCCCTACATCTGCTGGATTTGGTTCCTATGGGAAGATAAGGCATCTGTTCTGGGAAGAATTGCCTCCTGTGTCTGCAAGGTGAGAAGGGGCTGTGTGTGCCAAAGTGCT